CATAAACCACTAAAACCAGTGCTTCAGGAAATAAGAATAGAGCCAATACATCATGTATTTCATTTACTCTTGAATCTTCATACTGTCAGGGTCATGAGGCCACCACCAACGAACATGAGAGAAACAGGTTGAAACATGACACAGTGTTTGGATGGAGTATCCAATGCACAATAGAATTGTGTGTTTTCATCCTAATTTATAAAGTGATAATAGAAAGTAGTTCCTGATGCAAACTACGAGAAGAAAGACAGCAGAAAAACTCAGTCCAATATTAGACATCTGAAAATCATTCTTACCCCAATGCTTCGTACTACCCATAAACTCACAGCCATCAACAATCCTACTCCACTTTTATTGAAGGCTAGAGACTCCCCAAAGATAATGCCTGTATATCCTATTGCAAAAAGCAATGCCATAGCAATATCCTGCATTACGAAATTAGATAAAATCAAGAAAGGCTTCTGTGTACAATCCAATAATTTGAGAAACACTGGTCAAAGACAGGAAAACAATGAAAATCTAAATCGAAAGTATTACACAAGAAATTAATGATTAACTTGGTTGTCAGTAACCCATGAGAGGTTAATTGCCAGAGTCCCTGTTAAAGTTGCTTTGAAAACAGTGATAGTTTTCAACAAATCAGTCTTTGGCTTGTAAGTAGCTTCAAAATCTTGCGAGCTAGTATCGTCAACTGAACATAAAGGATCACACGATCCAGGTGCTGAGGTCAGCTGCTGTTGATATGCAAAAGTCAATTCACTATGTGACAGAACCCATAAAAAGAAGATGTAGAAGGAACAAAAATAGCTGTTTTGCAATAATGATTTGTTTTTCAGCAATTAGGAGAACGCTTTCTAAACTTCCTTTTGAGCAATCTTCCCTCATAAAAGGGATCATTACCTAACCTCAATCCCGCCAACGGAGGATAAGGATTCAGGAAGAGTCATTTGAAAATTTTTCTTAGACTTTAGGCTTTAGCATTTTTGCACAAGGAGGCTACCTTCAGGACTTGAACTTGCACATTTGTGCTTGTCAACCAAAATTTTTTTATATTGCGTCAGAAAATGACTCCTAACCAACCCTCATATGTATAATGAAATCAATCTTATTTCTGAGCTAAACATCTGCAGAAGGTAATTTCCAATAACAACAGTTTGAAATTCCATCAAATTCTTTGAGCTCCTCAGTAACTGTCTCAGTTCAAATTGCATCTTGGGAGAAGATAAAAAAAGAGTTGAAGAGAAAAAGTATCTTTTAGACAATTTTCGGTAAGACGTCTTCCTTAGGTTTTATAACTTGAAACAAAAGGATCTTTTGATGGAAGAATGAAGCATGTCCAAGACCAATGTTTCTACCAATCCCCTTTCAAATCTACACCTAAAAAAGGAAGGAATCATTCCCAACAAACCACAATCTAGTACTATCAACATTCAAACCCAAAGAAACTTCAAGTGCCAAAAAGTTGAGCATATACATTCTGAATGTCCAAATCTCAAGATAGTTACGTTGGTTGAAGATGAAGATTTTAAAGATGCTGAAGGAGAACCTATTGAAGTACCCCAGGATCTTGAATAAGGTGTTAAGGAGACCTATGGTGATCTTAAATCCTCACTTGTTATAGCATGAGTGATGTGCATGTAAAGAAAAGAGACTGGTTGCACAAAAATAAATTTCGTACTAAAAGCACTACCTATAAAAAGATATGTGATGTTATAATTGATAGTAAAAGTTTTGAAAACATTGTTTCTACCATTATGGTGCAAAAATTATGACTCAAAGCAGTGGATCACCTTCAACCATATAAGCTATCTTGGTTGCAGAAAAAGAATGAAATCAAGGTTAGCAAAAGGTGTTTGAGTCCTTTTTTTTCATAAGAAAAAATATCAAGCTGTGAGATCTTGTTTTATCTCAAATAGAGTTTGACTATAACCGTTTACCAAACTAAACCACTGGTTACAACTATTTTGAGATGGTATATGGTAAGAATGCAATCAATCTTCTAGATTTAGTTTCTCTCTCTACTAATCAACAATTTAGTAGAGATGCAGAGGAAATGGCTAAAGGTATCAAACAATTGTATGAACAAGTCAGAATTAAAATTTTACATAAAAATAAAAAATATAAAAAGGCAATAATCATACATGGAAAACATGTGAAGTTCAAAGATTATGACTTAGTGTGAGATTACTTGCACAAAAAAAGATTTTTGCAAGGAAGTTTGGTAAATTACAATCTAATGCAAATGACCCATTTCAAGTTTCACAATGCATTAGGAGAATGACTATAAGATCAAGCTTTCCGACACTTATGAAGTATCTTTCACATTTAATATTACTGATTTGTTACCCTACCATGACGAAAAGACTAATTTAAACTTGAGAATAAGTCTTTTTCAATCAGTGGAGATTGACACAGGAGTGTCTGTATAACATATAATTTGAGCTAAGACTAAAGTAGACTTATTCAAAAATAAGATAGGCAATCTACTAAATAAATATAGAAATAAAATGGGTTATAATAGGCAGATTATGTTCACACTAGCTAGAAAAGAAAAGTATGAATATGGATGAAATTGTGGTCAGGTTCATTATCATGTAATCTGCAAGAGTAAATAGGTAAATTATGTTCACATGCAAATCTTATGATTTTAGGCATGATTCTTGCAATGTAATTTGAAAGTTTTCATACTTAGAAGGATGTTTCTAATCTATATATTTTTTATTATTCTTTGGTAGAATGAAGAATAGAGTTTTATTTATCCTTAGGTAATCTTTTAGATTGTTTTTCAAGTTTTATATCTCTTAAGTGAATTTCCTAAAACAGTGAACTTTTATTGTTCTGTATCCTTTATTAAAATTTTTAAAGTTATGTTTATGTATCCCTTAATTTTTAGTCTTAGTGATAAACTTTTATCCATTTTAATCCAATAATCATTTTCTATCATTATTCATATTCTTGTAAGTTGTCTTTTTTGTGAGTTTTTCTATTTATAGTTAATCTCTACATCTTAAACATCAATTCCCAACATCATTAGCTCCTGTTGATATGCAAAGGTCGATTCCATGTGTGACAGAATCCAAAAAAAAAAGATGAAGAAGGAACAGACAATGCCGTTTTGCAATGATGATTTGTTTTTCAGCAATTAGGAGAATGCTTTCTAAACTTCCTTTTAAGCAACCGCTAAGGCAACCATTAAAAGCTAGGTTTTTAAAAAGTGGAAGGATTGAAAGAGAGTGCCTTTGAATCATTCACTGCTCTTTGAGAAATTTTTTGGATGGAATAAATAAATAAAAGCCCTTTTGTTCTGCTTGCTGTTTTAATTCTTAAACAAATTCATGCATATATGAAAATTCAATAAATTGTGAGTGATAAAAAAATAAAAAATTTTGGTAAATGATTTAGGGAATTTATAGCATTATTATTCTATTATTATCATATAATAAATAATTTCTTTTTTAAACTCTTATCATTCTTAAATTTTCTAGCTGCTATAAATAATGTGATATAAATAGAATTGTTTTTATTTTTATATTTTATTGTATGAATCTAATACATGTTAAAATTAATATTAGTTGTAGCAATTTTTAAAAATAAAATTATTATCAAAGAGTAAATTACATGTTTAATCACTAGAATATTCATAATTTTTATTTTGATCATTAAATTATAAAAATATATATAATTTGATTATTACTATTTAAAATTTTTATTTTTTTATCTCTCTTAGACTTTAACGGTTAGATGATGAGATTTTTCAAATCAATTAATATTTTTAACAGGTCATGGGATATTATTGATATGATAATTTTTTAAAGAAATAAAATTTGAATATTAAAAATGATAAATTTCTCATTTGGTCAACTTTTCAATAGTTTCTATTGTAATTATCCAATTGTGAAAAATCTTATTTTAATCATCAACGATTGTAAAATTAATATTTTAATTTTTATGGTTACTATGTCACTATTTGGTTATTAATGTTTGCGAGACTTAATATAATATATTATTTTATTATTTTTATTTTATATCAAATTATATTAAAATAATACTTAAATAAACTCTTGAATTTACGAAATTAATGTTATTAAGTTGATTGACTGTAAAATAAAATATTGATGATTTATTTTTGTTTTTTATAAAGTAAAAGTTTATAGTTAATATATGAAAGGTTTATTGTAAAATAAAATAAAATAAAATAAAAACTTATAATTTTAACTCCATTTAATAACAAGTAATGCTATTTGATCCTACAAATTTTTTTTTACGCGGGAAAACTTTATTAGGTAATTGTTTTTGGCCAATATTATGTAATATAAGAATGAGATTATGAATTTACGGAAGATAAATTTATTCATAAATACGTTGTTTAGATTTAAATCAATAAATTTTAATAAACAATAAGGATAAAAGAAAACTTTAAAAGGCATTTTTATCATTTAAATTAAAAAAAAAAAAGAATTATTAGGATATCCAAACATGACACGTGGTCAACTTTTATCTCTCATACGTCTGATTCGCTTGCAACTGTCAGTGTCAAAGAAAGAAAGATTAGATTAGAGGGAGGCGGTGTGGCGTCTTCCAAACATGACCTTAGATCAAGTCTTTTCTTCACTTCTCTTGCCGTTCATGGTTTTCTCCCAATCTTTTTTCTTTAAATTGCTTATTAAGTCTTTATTGCAATTTTCACCAGTCCTCAACGCCCATTTACTGTAATACTGATGTTGGTGCTGAGGGCATTCCTGTAAATATAAAAGGAAAAGACAATTAAAGATAAAAATAAAAAATATTTTTTACTTATGTTTTTTATTGTGCAAATCAGAAAAAAATGGAAAAAAAAAAGTAAAAAAATAAGAAATTATAAGAAAAATGAATGAGATAAAACTACCTTCATAATATTTAAATTTTTATATTTATAGATAAATTAAAGAAATCATAAGGGATAATTAAGATATTATCAAATTGAGTTGATAATGATTATGTTAAGTTGATTTAAATGACAAAAATACCCTTATTGTCTGCTAGAAACTTGGAAGTAAATGAGCATCCCAGAAAAGAATCTTTAAAGAGGATTGGCGATGTCCCTGCCATTGAAAAATTTGTTTTCCTTAAGTTGCAGGGTGGCTGTATCACTGCCATATCTTTTTCTCCATTGGGTTGAGTGGACATTTTTACCACATTGTAGTGCTCAATTTTGAAAATCGTCATCGAAGGTGTTCTGCCGTAGCTTTAGGACGATGGGACAGAAGGAATAATTGAGCTCTGCAACAACTAGTCTGTTTATTATTGAGTTAATTTTTCGTTTCTTTTTTTTTTTTCTTGATTCAGATTTGCATCAGATTTCGTTCATGTGGATTGCTTTGCATGGTAATTGTCAGGCTTTATTTAAAACACCTTTGTACAACTCCTTTTCCTTTGGAACGGGTTAAGGAGTTCAGGCCCAAGTGTTGGCTGCGTTAAGGATGCCGACTCACGTCGTTTGGAAAGCGCCCAAAACCTTAGAACAAAATGGTTGGTGTTTATCGCCGTCAAAGAGGCATTGGCCATTATTCCCATGCCCGTCTTAACCTAGTGATTACCCAAAGAAAAGCTTAAAAGGGAAATGCCAAACAATTCAACAAAAGTTAATAGTCCGAATGTGTACGAATTAATATTATTTGCTTCTCATGTCATTATTTTTATCACGCCACCTTCCAACTTATTTTTTGAACTAAACAACAGTATGCAATATAAATTTACTCTTCATGTGCATGACACTTAGTCTATGACTTAATTCATGTTCTTTACATCTCTGGTAAGAATGTTCATAATGTTTGCATACATGAGACTTCTCAAAACTATCCGAACCTTTACCTCCATCAATATTTCTTGAATTCTAAATACTAATACTTTTATGGGAGATCTCGTCTTCACTAAATCAATCAAAATGGCAATGTAAAGTCGATAAATTCAAGCTGTAGCATTGTAATTAAATAACCTATAATGAAGGAACCTGAGCAAAGGTTGAGGGTAAGGAGATGTGAAGGTTATTAACCGCTAAATAGGCAGCAATACCAGCAGCATAACCTGCAAAAGCAAAACCGCTCACCTGCACCAAAATAAATCTTGTACTAAATAAAATTGGTGTTTTATTTTTCTTTCTAAAAAGATATGCAACTAAAATACAGGAATTACCTTCCGCAAGTACCAAAAGAAGTCCACTTTTTCCATTCCCATATATGCAACTCCCGCTGCAGACCCAATAACTAGCATGGATCCACCAGTACCAGCACAATATGCAACTAGTTGCCAAAACTCAGAATCCTGGGGAAATGAGCTGAGATCATACATTCCCATTGTTGCTGCAACCAATGGAACATTATCAATAATTGCTGACACAACTCCTATTGCACTTGCAATCAGTTCCACATTAGGAATATGAGCATCGAGATAATTTGCCAACTCCCGAAGAAGACCTGCTGCTTCTAGGCTACAGAAGTACAACTCAAATATATCAAATAGAGAAAGATAAAATACACAACTTAATTATATAAATTAAGTAATGATATATATAAGAAATGAAGCTTCAACTTTTAAGTTGTTGAATGGATGTGTAATGTAAATTACCGTCAAGAGATACAAAAGACACAAATTAGCACTGTCTGCGGCACTGCTTTTACATAGTACATAAAAAGCAAACCAATTATCTTTACCTCAAAATATGAGAAAACAAAAAAAAAAAAAAAAACACCTAGAGTTGATGTTAGTTAAGCAATTTTACATAAAATTGGATGTCGCATCTAATCAGATAAAACAAGACCAAAAACAATACTGTGTCAAGCATGGGAGAGGGTTTGAACAGAGAAGACTTCCAGCCAGATAAAACTTGATAATAAACAAACTACAGTTGAAAAAACTAAGAGAGACAAGAAACAGGAACAAATTAGACATTGATACCTTCATCTTGCATTTACCTGCTCACAGACAATAGGATTCCAAGGAAGAAAAAAGCTCCTTGAGTATCAATCCTTGATAAAGCTTGTGGAACTTTTAATTTTTGCCCTTCCGATTCACCATAATGAATAGCATCAGTCAGAATCCAAAGAACTCCAAGTCCAAGCAACATGCCCATAAAAGGAGGCAAACCAGTTAAGGCCTTGAATACTGGAACAAAAATCAAAGCACCAATACCCACAGAGAAAACAAGTTGCCCTCTGGGAGCCATTTGTTCAGATGCCAAAACATTGAGAGAATCTTGTCCCTTCCCATTAACTTCGCTGAATGAAAATAGAGAACTCACATCATTTCATCTGTAATTCATGAAGTTAAAAGTAACTCTTTAAAACTGAGCTTTCACAACTTGTCTTTGCTCATGCAAGAGACATACCTAGTCAAAGACATAAGAGCCAGCGGAACAGCTAGAGAAACAATTGAAGGTATGAACAAACCCTGTTAGCAATGAAATCAAACTTAATTAACTCCACCTAAAGTCAGTAAAAAGAAAAAATTCTTCTAGAGTGAATTCATATAAATAGTATGTGACTTGCACATTTTATCCCAACTTCACATTGCTATTGCTTCCAATAGTTCAATGTTTGGTTCAAATTTAACAGAATTATTATCTTTGTCTACTAATCCAAGTCTAAATCAGGAAAATATTAGCGAATTAGAATGCACACTTAAATCCACAATGAATAGATATTAGGATCAAATTTAAAAGAATAAAAGAAAGTAAACTTAATGTAGATGTGCTTTGTTACAACTATGAAAGCACCTTCATAGTCTGCAATGTGGATATTTGACCATGTATCCATAGCATGGTAGTGGTAACATCACCAATAGGTGTCCAAGCACCACCAGCATTTGCCGCTATCACAACAACAGCTCCTAGAAGCCTATTGCAATTCATATTCATATAAACAGTTTTAAGAAATTTGAATGAACATGATACAAGTCATTCTCAGTAAACGAGCATGGTAAGTTTAACTCAAAATAATATGATAGCCACCTGTGCAGTTCCAGATAAACAAATGATTGTAAAATGCTAGTATACCATGTGAACCCAGGAACTTCTAGAAAAATAAGATATTAATATCATGCAATGCTCAGAAATCCAAACAAAAGAGTTGACTCTATTGCATAACATACTTGCGGTATTCCGATGGAGGTACTAGTTTCCTCAACAAAGAAACCATGACTACGGTAGATGTCAGATTGTCAAGGATGGAACTAAGGAAAAATGTCACGAAACCAACCTGCAATTTTCAAATTATGGGTGAAACACAATCATTTGATTAATCATATGAAGAAGATACAACAGATAAAGCAATAAAAAACTTTGACAAAAATAGAAATAAAGTTGATCTCTAATATTCAAAACAGGAGAAAGCATCATTAGAAAGACAGACATCTAACACAAATTTTTATCTAAGACTTTTCACTCAAATTTTCTTATTAGGCTCATTCTAGGTAAAAGACTAAATATGATAGGGTCATATGCAGATAAATTGTGCTTTGGCTGGATGATAACTTCGGCCCTCACACATAAGTAAGCAGATTTAAGATTTGATTTAAGATTCTTCTGTATCTATCTTATCAGTTGGAATCATCCACATCATTGGGTTGTACCTACCAGATAAATTTCAGTCAGTGGGTAAATATTGGGCCATAGGGTATGCGCTACTGTGCCATTAAACTTTCAATAATATTCATGTATGAACTATCAATGATAAAATTGTCAATATGACCATACCCAGCAGAAATCAACTCACCAACCAAAGCAGAGTCCGTGGCTTTCGAGTGGTTATATTGTCAGTAACCACCTTAAATCCTTGATGGGCATCAACTATCTCTACAATGGTCATTGCACCGAGCAAGAAAAACACTATTTCACTAACTTCAGCTGATGCACGTGTTAGCTCTGAAACAGCTATATCAGTTGAAGGAGCCTACAAATGAAAATCAAATGTGAATGGCCCAAGCATTATTCCACAAGAAATGACAGATAAAGGTGAAAATAAGTAGGAAAATGATAAAAAAAAAAGTTTTGAATACAGATATCAGATGCATCAGCATAAGTAGACTACCATAGAATTCCATAAATAAAGGGAGATAGTCATAGTCATCATTTGGAGAATCTCTATTGCAAGTAACAAGACACAAACGCATACTTTGGCTCTCCCAATTGACAATCGGGGTATATACCTAGTTTTGCCATCATAATTCATTGCTAGGGTAGTTCCTTGGAATTGGTTTAAATTGGAGATGCTCATTCCTTCAATGGGAAGTGGGCTCCCAACATAAATAAAAAAAAAAAGCCTAATAGATTGCAACAATCAATTTGTTGACACCCCAATCTGTCCGGTCTGTCTGAGGGTCTACAAGATTAATTCTGGCAATTAAAAAAAATTAAAAAATAATAAAATGAAAGAAAACGAAAAAAGGTGTTTGAGTTTGCATGAAACTGGGTTGAAGAGTTCAAAACGGATTGAAAGAGGATGAACAAGGTTAAAGACCGAAGCAAATTAGGACTTCTATTTAGATTTGGATTTTGTGGCCCCAAAAGTCCTATAAATACAGATCCTGGGCATGATTGACAAGGGGACAAAAAACACAGAGACTAACAGAAAAGAAAAACCACAAGACAGAGAAAGCAAATGGAGAGAAAACAAAAGCAAAAGGTGTTTAGAAAAGCATAGACAAATTTTAGAAATTTTAGGATTTTTTTTGGAATTTTCGGGCAATTTTTTTCTGGAAAATTTGATTTTTTCGGCGTATTTTTCCAGATTCCGACGTATTTTTTCCAAAATCCGATGAAAATTCAACCGAATTCTGGGTTTTGTTAGAGAGAGGGGAAGAGAAGAGGAGGAGGAAAGAGAAAGGGGAAGGGAAATTTGAAGGAAAAAGACCGGATTTTCGCCTTTTATCCTATCGCAAAACGACGTCGTTTTGAGAGTTAAGAGACCCCAAGATCCACGTGTTTCTATTCGGTCCAACCCAACCCGAGCATAACCCGCTTTTGGCCGACCCACCTTCCAGCCAAACCTTCAGCCTAGCCGAGCCGAGCAGAGTCGAATCGCCTGAGCCGCGCCTTCTAGCTGCTTTTGTGTCTCAAGCCGAACCATTTCTGCCGCTGAACCGAGCCAAGTTGCGTTAAGGTTTTTTTTTTACATTATTTATTTTATTATTATTATTATTATTTGTAATTATTTATTTATTGATTAAATTGAAAATAAAAAATAAAAATTTTCAAAAAACCATTTTTTTTTAAGGAAAAGTTGAAAGTATCAATTTTCCTTGAAAATAAAATTTCCAAAAAAAAAAAATTTTTAGGGAAAAGTTAAAAGTACTAATTTTTCTTAAAAATAAAGTTCTCAAAAAAAAAATATTTTTAAAGAAAAGTTGAAAGTATCAATTTTCCTTAAAAATAAAAAGAAAACCTTAAAATGCTTTAAGTAAAAGTTGAAAATATCAATTTTTCTTATATAAAAGCATGAGTTTTTGTCTGATAAAACACAAAAGAGATCTATATCAAAATCATCCTTTTTTTCTTTTGTCTTTTTAGAAAAATTTTAATGTTAAATGATCCAACAATACAGCCTTTACAAGTGAAACAGTAGTTTTCTTTTATACTCTTGAGGTGAGAAAATTTTTTTAATTTTCTGCCAAATGTATTTGAGTCAATTAAAGATAATTTTCAATAATTAATTATTTGATAATTTTTAAGGCTTATTGGATAACACGAAATCGAACTGATACCATCTTCTGATGGGCGTTGTGAGGGTGTTATAACCTTTCCCACACATAATTGTACTCCTAGACCTAGTTATGGTTTTGCAAACATTAAATTTACCTTTTAGAGATCCTAAATGGAACTTAGGATTCCTCTTTAGAAGAGACAGATTCATTTAGGTGGCCAATCGCATCTAAACAAAAAAAGATTGGTGGCGACTCCTCAAGTCAATGTCTAACGATAGATCCCAAGATCTAGACGTTATGACAATTTGACGACTCCACAGGGGATAGTTGTGAGTCAAGCCAGCAAATAAATTCATGTTATCCAAAAAGCCTAATAAAATTGAATTCTTTGTAAGGATTTTTTCTTTTTCTTTCTTTTCCATTCATTTTATTTATGCTTTTATTTATGCTGCAAACTATGTCATTCATATGCATATGCATAACATGAGCTCTATACCCGAGTTTCGTCCCTCTAGGAAAGAGTAAAGTACCTATGCTTTCGTGAGGTTCTAATGCCTCCGCAGTGGCTAGCAAAATACTCTCACTCAAATTGAATCATTTTATTGGTAGCCTGTGATGGGTGAAGTTTGGATTGACTTACTAGTTTGTAATAAACGATGATGTAAGGAACAATTTGGAAACTTTTAGTGGTCAGAATCGTCTAACCCAGCATATAATGTACACTTAAGAGGCCAATCCTAAGATAGAGGCCTTCCTACCCAATGATAGATATACCCTGAAACTAGGACACAAAAAGGAACAAGTTGTGTTTATCTAACCATTTTTATTGTTTGACTTTATGCATCGTTTTCATTATCATATGTAACATTGTGCATCTGCATTACTTTCATTTCATCCGTGAAACTAACCATGTTGTTTGTTTGATTTTGTGCATCTGCATAATTTCATTCTATGCATCATTTTCATGATCATGTTTTAACATTATCATTTGCATCATTCTCATTCATCCATTAAGATCCACATTCCATTCATGCATCAACATATCACACATAAAGCATAGCATAGCATTTTTAATCATAATTGTGGTGCTAAAGGTTCAAGGATAGCTCCACCAAGCAACCTCACTCACTAATACAATACAAGGGCTCGAGCCAGATAGATGGAACAAGAAAATTTCAATCGTCTTGAAAGGATAGAGAAAGCCCAAGAGAAACTAGAAGGGGAGTTGAATAGGATTTTGGAGGCTTTGAACAAATTAAACAAGGGAAAAGGTATAGAAGAAAGCACTAGTCAACAAGACCATCCATTACAAAAGGTGGATGACCCATTGTACCCTCCTGATTTTGGGCCACATCAAGCCCTACCCGCACAAGGTCCACCATCACAGCAGTTCACATATCTAGTAGGGTACACATACCCTGGAATGCCATCAATTTCAAATCCACCACAGTACCAGAGCTACATAAATCCTGTCTTTACTGAAAAGGCAATAGAACCAATATCAGTACCTAATTTGGACGATCCAAAAGAGAAAGAAAAGCTAAGGCCAAAGGAGAAAGAGGCTTTAAAAGACTCAAAAGTTGAACAAAAAATAAACTTATTAGAGGAAAGGTTACGGGCCGTAGAAGGTATTGGTTTTTATGGTTCAGTGGATGCTGTTAGACTTTGTTTAGTCCCAAATGTGGTTATTCCTCCAAAATTCAAGGTTTCGCAGTTTGAAAAATATGAGGGTACAAAGTGTCCGAAAACCCACATTACAATGTACTGTCGGAAAATGACCACCCATGCTAATAATGAGAAGCTATTGATGCATGTATTCCAAGACAGCCTCACTAGCTCTGCTGCTAGGTGGTATGTCCAGTTGGATAGGACTCATATCCGTTCTTTGAGTGATATGGCCTATGACTTCATTAATCAATATCGACATATCATAGATTTAGCCCCTAATCGTCGTTCCTTGCAGAATATGGAAAAAAAGTCAACTGAGTCATTCAAGGAATATGCCCAGAGGTGGAGGGATATTGCTTCTCAAGTGCAACCTTCTTTGACTGAGAAAGAAACCACAGTATTATTTGTAAGCACTTTGAAATCTCCCTATTATGAAAAGATGATAGAGAATGCAACAAAAAATTTTGCTAATATGGTGATCTCAGGTGAAATCATTGAGAATGCCATTAAAAATGGCAAGTTGAAAGAAGGAGAAACCAAGAAAACCTCAGAGAAGAAAGAGACTGAAACTCAAGCTGTGAACTTCGACAGACAATTCAAGGGATATCAACCCTATCCACCACAAGGTTACTCTCCATACTATCCTGCTATGAACAATGCCTCATACCAGCCCATAACTCATTCACATACCAGCCCATACCACAACCATCTTACTCATTCACATACCAGCCCGTTTTTAGCCCCCAAGCTCCCACATACAGCCTTAACATTCAATCTCCCACAAGACCCCAAATTCGTCCTATTAGCCTAGCAAATGGTTCACGAGAGCAACGAATTACTCAAGAAAAACCTACATTTGATCCAATCCTCATGATTTATACGGAGTTATACCGAAAGCTCTATAACAGCCACTTGATTGCCCCAAACCGTGTGGAGCCACTCAAGCCACCCTATCCCAAGTGGTATGATCTTACAGCTCACTGTGACTACCACTATGGAATTGTTGGTCATTCCACTGAAAATTGCATTGTTTTAAAACGTACAGTGCAACGGTTGATCAAGGATGGAATGGTAAGTTTTGATCAAGAAGGAGCAACAACACCCAATGTTAGTGGCAATCCATTGCCTAATCACAATGTCAATGGTTTAAGCGAGAATCAAGAACATGTTGATCCAAAAAGGCCTGGAGAGTTGCAATGAATTAGGGGGCAAAATGTCAATAAAGATCCTTCACTTGCACAGTGGCACAATTTTGGGAGAGTGATGATAAAGTTGGTTGAAAGTTTCTTATTATTTTAGGATTTCTTTTAGAATAATGTTAGGATTTCTTTTATGCAATAAGATTTCATTTGCTATCATTTTAATAAAAGGCAAGGATAATGCATTTCATTACATTTTCTTTTTCATTCAACCATTGTTCCATACTTTGTCACCTTTCATAACTTTTCATTCCCATTCCTATTCTCAATGATGAATGTTTAGACAATGATGCTAACAATAATTCTGGGATTTAATTTTGAAACTCATTCATATTGATTGGACGAGATTATTTGAGTAAAAAAAAAACAAAAAAAAAAACAAGTTGCTGACAGATATGAGATGGATATATCTTGAAGATTCAGTCTTTTATAATGATCCATGAGCATGTTTTTGTTCAATAGATGATGTTCAAGGAAAACATTCACATTTGAGATGAAAAATAGCCATTTTTCTTTTACCATTTGAAAAACCATTCAATGCTACTCCTTTGAGCCTACTATGATTTTTTTTTCTAAAAGAACTCCAACCAAGGATCACCCTCCACATTGGGGGGCAATTTTTGAGAAAGAAAGAGCTTAAAAATCAAAAAATGAAGCAAGAAGAAAAAGAAGAGAGCAAAGAAAAATGCCACACCTAATTTGGGGCAAAGTAATGTGAATCCTTTTATAAGAAGTGAGGTGAATGTGAAAAAGGAAAAAGTAGTGAAATAATGGGGCAAAATGCCAAGTTGCATCAAGTGATGATCCTTTGGTTTTGAACCCTTTTAATTCATGTTTTGAGCCTATTATATCCATTTCTTTCATGACCCTTCACCATGGCCTACATTACAACTTTAAAAAGTTCATTTGGATCAAATGTGAATGCTTGAATTGAATGATCATATGTTAGGCTAACGCATGCTCATGATGGAACGACAAGATCATGCTTGGTTGCTCTAACGATTGATGTGAAAGATGGGTGAACGAAAGAAGGAAGGAAAAAAAATGAAAAAAAAAAAAGAAAAAAAGAGAAAGAATGAAAAATGAAAAAAGAGAAAAATGAAAATGAGAGAAAAGGAATGCTCAATTAAAAACCCGAGAGGGCGATTTGGGTAGAAAAAACATCTGAGCTAAAATTTTGATGGACAATTCTAGCATATGGACGATCAAGGTATCTAAATATATCTCGAAACTGGAGCAAAGTTTGATAAGCTCAAAAAGATTTCGATAGTCAATGGAATGAGATTTTGAAGAAGAATCATGGATTAATGTTCAGAATTGTCTGAATATTCATTGTTTAGATATACCATTTATTCCAATGACATGTATCCAATTTGTTCCTTTCCCCATTTGTTTTGTACCAAACTCGTTCTTCATTGATTACCTTTCTCGTAATTCACATTGTGTTCTCTTATTGTTGCATCCCCAGAATAAATCGAGAAAATGTATGAGTGCATTATATTTGTCATGATTTGAAATGATGATGAATAAATGACAATGTGCATAAAAAAGTCTTGCATTCCTTTGAAGAGAAATCCAAGAAAAAAGAGAAAAAGGAAGAGATGGTAGAAACCTAAAAAAAGATGATTTGAGAAGCCTATGATTGGTGACTAAGTGACAGGGGACAGAATTTATGGCTAGTACTGAAGGGCCTATGAGTTGTGCTTAAATGATATGGGGCAATGGACAAAACTTGTTCTGGAATTGTTAGTGCTTAAATGATATGAGGCAATAGACGAAACTTGTTCTGAAATTGTTAGTACTGAGAAGCCTATGAATGGTGATCAGGTGATGAAAATAATGATGATCAGTTGATGAAACTTGTTCCAAAGTACTGAGAAACAGAACAAGGAGAAAATGTGAGATGATAAAGTCTTGATAACCATATTACCACTTTTTGATTAGAATTTAATGACATTGACATCTACATTACATGCATTATGTTTGCATTGTTGTTTAGAGATTGTTTGAAACTTTGGTTTGGATATGCATTTGCATTATGCAGTAGACATTTGAATCATGGTTAAGAATATGGCATTGTGAGAATCTAAATTGTTGCATTTGCATCATTAAGGAAGCATTTGCATCATTGATCATGACAATAATTACATGCAAATTTTTGAGTCCCTTGAAAAAGAAATTGTGAATCTTTTGATAAGAATTTTTTAGTTCTCAAATGCGAATCTTTGAATTTCAAATAAAAATCTTTAAATTTCAAACGAAAATCTTTGAATTTCAAACGAGAATCTTTGAGATGTGAAACCCTCAGATTTGTCAAATGTGAATTTGAACTCGAATGAGAAGCTTTGAACTTTTAGATGTGAATCTCTAAAGTTCAAATGAGAATGTTTAAATGTTGGATGCGAGTCTTGCAAGTTGCAAAAGTGAATTTTGAAATCTTGTAGATATGAATTCTTGCACATCTGAAATTTTGCGAATCAAATTCTGGTGAAACAGAAATTTTGATAATCAAATTTCAGTGAATTCTTGTGAATCTGAACCTTTGAATTTTAAACTCAAATTGTGAATATTTTAGTTCCCTTTACAAATTCCATCAGACATGATCTATAACCCCTTTAGACATGATTGTCAATGAGCATTTTATTTTCCAAAATTGTGGTTGCCTCTATTTAGAGAAGCATTTTATTTTTCAAAGTTGTGATTTTTTCTGCAAGTTATGGTTGCCTCTGTTTAGAGGAGCATTTTATTTTTCCAGAGTTGTGGTTGCCTCTATTTAAAGGAGCATTTTATTTTTTCAAAGTTGTGGTACCTCTGTTTAGAGGAGCATTTTGCTTTTTCAAAGTTGTGGTACCTCTGTTTAGAGGAGCATTTTATTTTTTCCAAAGTTTTGGTGCCTCTATTTAGAGGAAGATTTTATTTTTTCAAAGTCATTGAGCCTCTATTTAGAGGAGATTTGTTACTTTTTCCAAAAACAAAAAATGTAAAATTGATTGGGTTGTCTACCTCTTTGCACAATTCTTGTTTCACAAAAAATGCACAAAGAAGGGCAGCTATAGATACCTCAATCTGTCCGGGGGTCTACAAGATTAATTCTGGCAATTAAAAAAAATTAAAAAATAATAAAAATGAAAGAAAATGAAAAAAGGTGTTTGAGTTTGCATGAAATTGGGTTAAAGAGTTCAAAACGGATTGGAAGAGGATGAACAAGGTTAAAGACCAAAGCAAATTGGGACTTCTATTTAGATTTGGATTTTATGGCCCCAAAAGTCCTATAAATACAGATCCTGGGCAAGCTTGAAGAGGGGACAAAAACACAAAGACGAAATAGAAAAGAAAAATCACAAGATAGAGAAAGCAAACAAAGAGAAAAAAAAAAAGCAAAAAGGTGTTCAAAAAAGCATATACAAATTTTAGAAATTTTAGGATTTTTTTTGGAATTTTTGGGCAAATTTTTTCTAGAAAATTTTTTAAATTTCCAAATTCCAACGAAATTTTCTGACGAAACTTGATTTTTTCGACATATTTTCCAAATTCTGGCGTGTTTTTCCAAAATCTGGTGAAAATTCAACCGGATTCTAGGTTCTGTTAGAGATAGGGGAAAAGAAAATGAGGAGAGAGAAAGGGGAAGGGAAATATGAAGGAAAAATACTGGATTTTAGCTTTTTATACTAGCACAAAACGACGTCGTTTTGGGTGTTAAAAGACCCCAAGATCCACGCGTTTCTATTCGGTCCAACCCAACCCAAGCGCAACCCGCGTTTGGCCAACCCGCATTCCAACCAAACCTTCAGCCGAGCCGAGCCAAATCGCCTGAGCCGTGCCTTCTAGTCGATTTTATGCCTCAAGCCGAGCCGTTTCAACCGCTAAGCTGAGCCGCGTTAAGATTTTTTTTTCATTATTTATTTATTATTTTTATTATTATTTCTACTTATTTATTTATTGATTAAATTGAAAATAAAAAATAACAATTTCAAAAAAAAAAATTTAAAAAAAAAATTGAAAGTACTAATTTTCCTTGAAAATAAAATTTTCAAAAAAAAATATTTTGGAGAAAAGTTGGAAGTACTAATTTTCCTTAAAAATAAAATTCTAAAAAAAAAAAATATTTTTAAGAAAAAGTTGAAAGTATCAATTTTCCTTAAAAATAAAAAGAAAACCTTTAAATGCTTTAAAAAAAGTTGAAAACATCAATTTTTTTTATATAAAAGCATAAGTTTTTGTCTAATAAAACACAAAAAAGACCTATATCAAAATCATCCCTTTTAAAATTTTTAATATTAAATGATCCGACGATGGAACCTCTGTAAGTGAAACAGTAATTTTCTTTTATACTCTTGAGGTGAGAGAATTTTTTTAATTTTTTGCCAAAAGTATTTGAATCAATTAAGGATAATTTCCAATAATTAATTGTTTAGTAATTTTTAAGGCTTATTGGATAACATGAAATCGAGCTGGCACCATCTTCCGATGAGCGTTGCAAGGGTGCTATAACCTTTCTCACACGTAATCGTACTCCCTGACCTAGTTATAGTTTTGCAGACAATGAATTTACCTTTTAGAGACCTAAGTGGAACTTAGGATTCCTCTTTAAAAGGAACAGATTCAGTTAGGTGGCCAATCGCACCTAAACAAAAATATATTGGTGATGACTCCTCAAGTCAATGTCTAGCGATAGATCCCCAGATCTAAACGTTATGACACACTTCATAGAAAGACAAGCCATCATTCACCAAAAACATAAACCACTAAAACCAGTTCTTCAAGAAATAAGTATAGAGCCCATACATCCGGTATTTCATTTACTCTTGAATCTTCATACTGTCAGGGTCATGAGGACACCACTAAAAAACATAAGAGAAACAGGTTGAAACCTGACACAGTGTTTGGATGGAGTATCCAATACACAATAGAATTGTGTGTTTTCATCCAAATTTATGAGAATGCTAATAGAAAGTGGTTCCTGATGCAAACTACAAGAAGTAGGACAGCAGAAAAACACAGTCCAATATTAGACATCTGAAAATCATCCTTACCCCAATGCTTCGTACTACCCATAAACTCACAGCCATCAACAATCCTACTCCACTTTTATTGAAGGCTAGAGACTCCTCAAAGATAATGCCTGCATATCCTATTGCAAAAAGCAATGCCATAGCAATATCCTACATTACAAAATTAGATAAAATCAAGAAAGGCTTCCGTGTATAATCCAATAATATGGGAAACACTGGTCAAAGACAGGAAAACAATGAAAATCTAAATCGAAAGTATTACACAAGAAATTAAATATTAACCTGGTTGTCAGTAACCCATGAGAGGTTAATTGCCAGAGTCCCTGTTAAAGTTGCTGTGAAAACAGTGATAGTTTTCAACAAATCAGTCTTTGGCTTGTAAGTAGCTTCAAAATCTTGCGAGCTAGTATCATCAACTGAACATAAAGGATCACACGATCCAGATGCTGAGGTCAGCTCCTGTTGATATGCAAAAGTCAATTCACTGTGTGACAGAACCCACAAAAAGAAGACGTAGAAGGAACAGAAATAGCTGTTTTGCAGTGATGATTTGTTTTTTAGCAATTAGGAGAACGCTTTCTAAACTTCTTTTTGAGCAATCTTCCCTCATAAAAGGGATCATTACCTAATCTCAATGCCGCCAATGGAGGATAAGGATCCAGGAAGTGTCATTTGAAAATTTTCCCTAGACTTTAGGCTTTATCATTTTTGCACAAGGAGACTACCTTCAGGACTTGAACTTGCACATTTGTGCTTGTCAGCCAAAATTTTTTTATATTGCGTCAGAAAATGACTCCTAACCAACCCTCATATATATAATGAAATCAATCTTATTTCTGAGCTAAACATCTGCAGAAGGTAATTTCCAATAACAACAGTTTGAAATTCCATCAAATTCTTTGAGCTCCTCAGTAACTGTCTCAGTTCAAATTTAAGCATACCTAAGCAAGATGTATTAACTAGTAGAACAGGCAAATGAGAACCCTTATAACTGGAGTACTCGTAAGCATGATAATAAAGATGACAGAAGACACAAAATCAAACCAAGAGACTCTCACCCAAATCCATTAATTAACAAAACAAGCAAACGGGTACTTAAAAAATTAAATTTTTCTTGATGGTATAGGGACAAAAAGAACAAAAACCTCAAGCTGTTTTTCATTGTTGGGTTGAACTTCTCGTTGACTTGGGGGAGTAGAACTAGGAGAAGAGCCTCTGGCCTTATCCTCAGCTCTAGCAAGAACTCCATTGCGAAGCAATCTTGGACCTCTAATTCTACAAAGGGACGAGCTAAAGCAAGGCAAAGAGCAGACAGAAGGCGTGTGGAAAGATCGTTTCTTGAATTGGTACGACGGAGAAAAATGACAAACAATCGATAAGGCAGCCATTAAAAGCTTGGGTTTTTAAGATGCGGAAGGTTGAAAGAGAACGCCTTTGAATCATTCACACTCTCTTCCAGAAATTTGTTGCATGGAATTAAAAAAAAAAAAACCCTTTTTTTGGGTATTCTGCTTGCTGTTTTAATTCTTAAACAAATTCACGCATATATGACAATCCAATAAATCCCGGGTGATAAAAAAATAAAAATTTTTGGTAAATGATTTAGAGAATTTATAGTATTATTATTCTATTATTGTCATATAATATAATAATTTCTTTTTTATAATTCTTAACATTCTTTAAATTTTCTAGCTGCTATAAATAATGTGATATAAAAAGAATTGTTTTTATTTTTATATTTTATTGTATGAATCTAATACACGTTAATATTAATATTAATTGTAACAATATTTTTAAAAATAAAATTATTATCAAAGAGTAAATTACACGTTTAATCACTAGAATATAAATTGATTAAAAAATATATAATTTGATTATTAATATTTAAAATTTTTAATTTTTATCTGTCAATCATTAGAAATTAATGGTTAGATTATGAGATTTTTCAAATCAATTAATATTTTAACATGTCATGGGATATTATTGATATGATAATTTTTTTAAAAATGATAAATTTCTCATTTGGTAATAGTTTCTATTTTAATTATCCAATTGTGAAAAATCTTATTTTAATCATCAACGATCGTAAAATTAATATTTTAATTTTTATTGTTAATATGTTACTATTTGGTTATTAATGTTTGTGATATTTAATATAATAAATTATTTTATTATTTTTATAATACATTAAATTATATTAAAATAATACTTAAATAAACTCTTGAATTTACGAAATTAATGTTATAAAGTTGATTGATTGTAAAATAAAATATTGATGATTTATTTTTGTTTGTTATAAAGTAAAAGTTCATAGTTAATATATGAAAGATTTATTGTAAAATAAAATAATAAAATAAAATAAAAACTTATAATTTTAACTCCATTTACTAACAAGTAATGCTATTTGATCCTACAAATTTTTTTTTTGTGGGAAAACTTTATTAGGTAATTTTTTTTTGGCCAATATTATATAATATAAGAATGAAATTATTAATTTACGGTAGATAAATTTATTCATAAATACAATGTTTAAATTTAAATCAATAAATTTTAATAAACAATAAGGATAAAATAAAACTTTAAAAGGCATTTTTAAAATCATTTAAATTTAAAAAAATTATTAGGATATCTAAACATGACACGTGATCAACTTCCATCTCTCAGATACGTCTGATTCGCTTGTAATTGTCAGTGTCAAAAAAAGAAAGATTAGATTAGGGGAGGCGGTGGCGCGTCGTCCAAACATGTCTTTAGATCAAGTCTCAGCGTCACTTCCTCTTCCGTTCATAGTATTCTCTCAATCTTTTTTCTTTACATTGCTTATTAGGTCTTTATTGCAATTTTCAACAGTTCTCAACGCCCATTTACTATGATACTGATTTTGGTGTTAAGGGTATTCTTGTAAATATAAAAAAAATACAGTAAAAAAAAAAATTTTTTACGTTTGTATTTCAATGCATAAATTAGAGATCACATCGGAAAGAAAGATAAAAAAATTAAGAGAATTGAGTAGGATAAACTTATAGAGTTTTCATATTTATAAATAAATTAAAAGAAATCAAGATAATTAAGACATAACGAAGCTAAAGTATTATTGATTATATTAAATTGACCTTATATTTTAGATCAATATAAATGATAAAAATATTCTTATTGTCTGTCGAAAGTTTTGAGATGGGATAGATCACTATACATATTTTATCATTAAATGCCCCTAACAACTGATTCGGCGTTGTGGAAACTTACTTCCTGATCACTCCCAGCGGCGCAGGGTATTATCTTTGTGATGGACACAGCAGTGATAGAGAAAGAATTTGTGAGTGTTGATGAATGGCAGCCAGCGGATCAGCTTTGAAAGGAGGATGCTTAAGAACTGCACTCAATTGTTTTCCCTCTGTCAATCTGATAAGAATTCATCCATTAAAATCAGGTATTTTATTGCAGGAAACAATCAGATATTATAACAAGATAGAACCACAGAATTGGAGCAAATAAATTAATTGTTGCCTAGATTTGCAATTGAGCTTGAAATCAGCTGCAGGAATTGGTTGTTTGGGAGCTTTCAACTCAGGAATAAACTCTGACAGGGCAGAAAGATCATGTGCCTTCAATTTCTTCTGTCGGCTTCGAAACTTCTTCATAGGCAAACTCTTTTAACTCCAAACTAAGAGCATATATATGCAGATTATTTTGTGACCCAAAATAGAAGAGAGAACAGCCAATGGCATCACTGGTGCCATTGCTTTAGTTAGTGGAAACATTCACTTCTATTCCCAAAAAATGTCAGTGGAAGAAATTTGATTATATATACTGCCACTAAAGTCATCTTTCCCAAGCCCTCCTCCACCCCAAATCCACATTTAGCAGATGTTCCAACAGAACTCTGGCAGTACTTTATAAAGCATGTTAGAATTCCAAACATACATACATATATAAAGTACAGAGACATGAGGTAAAAGTGAAAGATGATTGCATCGAATGAATCTACCCACATGAGCTCAGAACAATTTGTTACAGCATGCATTGGATGTTATTATGCATTAAATATGAGACTAGAACGAATACCTGCATTAAATCAAAACCCCACAGAAAAAAAACATTTAGATTTGCATATTAACCAATAGCTGTAAGGTAAACAAATTAAAAATGTTTGCAAGTAAGAGTCTTATCGCCTTTGTAATGTCCTCTTGGCAGTCAAGGAGGCAACAGTATCTCTAATCTCTACATATATAAAAAAGTGAAATTATTACACTTACATATAACAAAAAATTGAATGAAAAAAAGAGTTTGAACTCCCAGGCATAGAACTGGAGCTTCTTGTCGAATTTTTTATCTGCTTTAAACGAAGAATCAAGTTTGCCAAAAAAAAATGAAATTTGTAAAATTGCAGAAACCCCATGTTTCATAGATTAATCAGGGAAGTTAGTATACAACGAATGAAAAGAAATACAAAAAAAAAAAAATCAGATTTAAAGAAAAAAAACACAACAAAAAAATGCACCTTGAGCTTGCCTTCCCCATGTTTGAATAACTTTAAAGGTCGTAAATTCTTGCAATGGAGGAACCAAAGTTAGGGTTATAGGATTTGATTATTGAACTACAAAGAAGACAGCAGAGTGGGAACTCGATCAACTAATTTTCCTTTCTTTAGAGGTTTGGGCTCTTTTACAAACCAGGAAAATTTTGGGTTTTACCGTTTATGGGCCTTTAATCTTCACCTCAGGATAGGAATCATCGAACACTATGTGTTCTTTCGAGAATTCTGATTAGCCATATCAATAAAAGGGTTTACAACTTTGGTAGGAATCTCAAACACCCATCCCAATGTGTAAGAATTCATCCTTTTTATGCTCCATTGCTTGGGAGTGAAAATGATTACACAATTATCAAACATACGGTCCAACCAACATAATCAGAAATAAAGTGAGTAATTGAAAGTAAAGCATTCTCCAATTTTTGTTAATCTGAGAATGATCCTTATCATAACTAGTATGATTTTCTTTTTCTTTTTTTGCTATGGTTGAGAGTTGGAAGAAACCCAGGGCAACAGAAAATTTTGGTAATTTGTCAAATTAATTGGACAATGACTGATGTCAGACATTGTGCCACCGACGACAAGGTAGAAGGAACAGCTGCTTTAAAGGACTTTTCTTCTTGACAGCTCATGGTTATGGACCTGCACTGTATCCATCATTGGCAGTGAAAAGCTAAAGCCTTTCTTCATAAATATATAAATTTAGCCCTTTGATTTTTCATTCGGAATTTGTGCATCATCCCGCTCGTACCTCTACCCCTTATTATAACTTTAACTCCTCCAAATCCATTCACAATTTATCTTTGACAGTAGTGTCGGTAACTGCAGCCTTTCCCTGACCTAGAACGGGCTGAAAAAATGTTCAACTTTCGCCTTTAGTACATTACTACTACAAATTACTTCATCTAACAGCTAATTCCATTTTCCTAACAACGTTAAACACAAGGTTTTATTTATTTATTTTTGGATTAAATGCTTACACATTGAAAAACACATAGGAGAAGTATTACTTATTAAAAACACGTGGGAGATCAATCCCACTTTTTCTTCAAACTAAAGGAATCATCACTGTAATTGACAGTCTTTGACACAGCTAATTATTTATTCTTTTAATGTCCCCTGTATTTACATAATAAATCAATCAGCCACTGTATATAAAAAATGTATATATTTTTTACTGGTAATTTAAAAAAAATGAAAAGCATTGACCGACAAATATGATACTAAGACCTTGGTTTTCCACCATAAGCTTGCTTGCAAACTGCGTCAGATTTCTGCGAAGGAGTGCATAGCTGAGAAGATCCTGGACATTCCTGAAGACAATTGTCCCCCAAGCTACCGGAAACCGACGTATCACTAGCGAAAAACTCAGATGGAGGTTTCCCGATCAAGAAATTCCCGTCTAAAAACAACCGCCTTAAAGACTTGTTCTTGCTGTACCCCAATGGAATGGCTCCACGTAAGCGATTGTAACGCAACGACAAAGAGGACAGCAGAGGAAAGTCAGCAAGATTAGCGGGGGCGTTTCCCTCAATCTTGTTGAAGCCTAGGTTAACGGCCACAAGGTCGCTGTTACCACCGGGGGGATTCGAGATCTCGACACGTGTTAAGCTGTTATTGGCTAAATCTACCTGTTGCAATGACGGTAAGAGAAAGAACCATGCTCCAAGTGTGCCAGAGAGCGAGTTTTCACTGAGTTCAACAACTGCCAACTGAGTTAAACCATCAAAAGAGGATTTTGAGATATACCCAGATAAAGAATTTCCCCTTAAAGCAAGCTCCAATAAGTTATATGGCAGTTTTGGTAGAAAACCAGTGAGTTGGTTGTAACTCAGATCGAGTCTTCTCAAGCTAGAAAGCGAGTTCAGGGTTTTTGGCAAGGGCCCAGATAGAGAATTATGAGAAAGGTCCAGGGATTCAAGTGATCCAAGAGTCGTAACTGAGTCAGGGATTGAACCAGAGAACGAGTTGGACTTGAGAGTCAGACTTTGAAGATTACGGAGAGAAGAAATGGAAGAAGGTATAGGGCCAAAGAAGTAGTTATCAGAAAGATCAAGAGTGGTAAGTTGGGTGAGTTGCGAAACAAGTGGGTCGAGTTGGCCAGAGTAGCCAGCTGGATCAAGAGTGATTTGGGTAACACGAGTGGAGTCAGGCGAGCAAGTAACACCACAGGTGAAGTGGGTGCGGCGAGGGATGGCACAGGGGTCGCTGGTGAAGTCCCATGAAGCCAGACATGACCATGAAGGGATTGAGCTTGGCTTGATAGAGGCCTTAAAGGCTTTGAGAGCTAAAATATCCTGCGGTGCAGTCAGGGCATGAGCTAGGGAAAGATAGAGAAGAAGAAGAAGAAAACAGTGGACGTTGAACATCGAGACAGGATTTTGCTTTTGCTTTTCTTTTGGGTGTATTTTTTTTATTTCTAGCTTTCAAGAGAAGATAGAATGGGAGAGCCTGTCAAGGAAAGATGATGCAAACTTAAATGAGTTTCAATGTGGTTTTTGGAAGTTAGTGCTTTCATATTGTATATGGTTCGACGGCACTGCACTACAATTTTGTCGTGTGGTTGGTCAAATTCTACACCTCCTTATAATATTTAAAGTTTTAAAATAGTAGATTTGAGTGAATTTAAATTTAAATTTTTTTAAATTAATGATAAATTAAATTTTCTTAAAATATATATTTGACATTTTATATATTTTTATAAAGTACTTTAATGATTTTAATACGATTGTAATGAAATAAAAGCTGGGTAAAATGACCGTTTTAAATATATGTTTATTAATTATTTTATGCTCCCTTAAACATTTAATTTAGAATTAATTATACAAACTCAGAAAGAAATTTTGGTATTTCTTTTATATAATACATATATCATACTCTCTCTGTCTTAAAATGTTTGAGCAGTATTGATTTTTACAGAATTTAAAAAAAAAATTATTTTACTTTATTTAATATTATAATTAAAATTTTTTATAAAATTAAAATTTCATGATTTTTAATGTTAAAAAGTTAAAAAAGTCATAAAATAAAATTTTAAAATATAAAAAAAATTAGATGTTAAAAATATAATTTTGATATATTTCAAAAAATAAAAATAGATAAAAAAAAAAGGTCAGAGGGAGTAGTTAAAATCTTGATTTTGAAATACTTTTAGGTACTATAATAAGAACAAGTTATATTTGTTTCAATTAGGTGATTAATTAAAAAATAATAAGCTGTTGGTTATATAGTATTAATATTTTTTTATTTTGTTGTCTGAAAATAAATACAAGTAGTTGATTAATTTTAAAAACATATGCAGGTCGTTTCCGATTATTTAAGCCATAAGATTTCGGTTACAGCAAGCTAACAAATAACATTAAAGAAATGAAAGAAACAAGCTGTCATGTTTTAAACCACTACGTTTAGTGGACCCTTTTTTTTTTTTTTTTGCTTTAATCCATGTATGCATTTCCTTCCCCAGTTTTTATATTCCATGTCTTCAATTTTTTTCTTTTCAAATTGATAGTTAATTAAGACTTAAGAGCAATTAATCAAACAAAACATCCAAGTTTTATTAAAAATTTTGCATTAGATTTCGTGCTAAATGCTACTCTGCTCGTCCTTTTTTTTTAATTTCAATTTAATTTTTTTAATCATTTATTATTTTTTAATATTTTAAAATTTTAATGATTTTTTATTAAAAATAATGAAGAATAAAGATAAAAAAAATTTTAACATAGAATACAAAAAAATCAATTTAATTAATTAATTGCAATTAATTAGTCTTGGGCTGCGTACGTACTAATGCAATTTAGCCAAGAGCTTGGATTTCTAACCATTAATCTTATGCTATACTTATTAATAATTAAAAAAAATTATATTTAAATTTTAATCATTAAAATTAAAAATTTAACTCTCTTGTACTAAAATAATAAAAAGGTTTTGATAAAACTATCATGAATACCTGCCGGCCAAAGAAAGTGCAACTAAACGGAACCTAACCCGTTTTGTGTCGTTGATAACTTGTAAATGGAAAGGTCCACACGGAATCTGTCTGTTTAAAAGAGGCTCCGTACTAGAGATAATTACGCGTTCCACAGAATTTAGCCAAAGCCAATGTCAAGAGGCCCAAATATTTTCCAACTCTAAATTTGGTTAAATTTAATTATTTATATCATATAAAATATTAAAAATTATATATTATAATTTATTTTGATATAAAATATAAAATATATTTTTTTACTTTATTAAATTTAAATATAATAATTATTAAAATTTTAAATCATATAATTTTTGTATTTTATATTTATATTATATTTATATTATATTATTATATTATATTATATTATAAATTTGATCTTCTCATTGCACCCAAGACTAGGATATCCTTTTTTGTGTGTGCGGTTTGTGAATTTCCAAAAAAGTTGATATTCTAATATAGATGACAAAAAAAAGGACTCTATGAATAGATATAGCACATTACACATTAATATGATTAAAGTAGGATTATGATATCTTACAAACGAGAGTTTGGATACCAAAAATTCTGTTTGGTTGGTTTGACTTTAGGATTATGATATCACATTAACTAGAATTTAGACTAATTAATTCTGGCCCAGTTTACTCTCGCTTGAACAAGCATATGCAACTCCAATATCAACAAATTGCAACATAGACCGTTATTGGACTTAAAGACAGTTTGGTTCCGGCCCTTCAAATGGGCATTTTTGCTGATTTGGGCCCAACAAAACTCACCGATAATTGAAATGTGAAGGACAAACAGTGACAGTCAATCCTGATCTCTTTCTCTTGTCTTGCTTCTGGGCTTGTTGCCAACAAGAATTAAATCCATCACTGTTTTGTATGTGGTTAAGATGCTTCAAGTCAATAATTGTTTATCAACATCATCTAGAACTTAGAAAGAGTAACCCGCATACTCCAAAATGACCAAAACCATGACACCTCTACTTCTCCTCCTCCTCCTCCTCCTCCTCCTCCTATCTACCACCATCACTGCAACCGCTTCCACTTCCGCATACCCATCAGTCCCCACGGACTGCACTGTTTCTACAGGGGATAAGAAACTGGTTCCTGTTAGACGGGAAGTTTACGGTGATGGGAAAATCTTCGATATTAGTCACAGGTACACTGCGGATATGCCATTTTGGGGGAGCAATGACGGGCTGGGTCAGTTCCTGTGGCTTCCTGCCAGCATGAAGAATGGCTCGCTGGCCAATAATTCTGAGATGAAACTGTCTACTCATACTGGCACGCACGTCGACGCTCCTGGCCATATGATTGACCGTTACTTCGATGCTGGATTTGATGTCGACACGCTTGATCTTGAAGTTCTTAACGGTAAGACCCATAGCCATTATTCATCTTCATTTTAAACACTTGGTGGCGTTTATCTTATTATCAATGATAAATTGTTGGTGGTGAAAAACTGAAAATACTAGAAAAGCCCTAAGTATTCCACTTTTCTTAAACTAAGTCCTTATATTTTTTGTATACTCAAATAAACATTTTTTTATATATAAATAAACTTTTATTTCAAATAAAATATTTTTTATTTTAAAATTTATTTAGATATAAATTAAAAATTAAAAATTTATTTGAATACAAATTAAATATTAAAGATTTATTTAGATTTAATCGGATGAAATAAAAATATAAAGATTTACATGAATAACTTGATCAAATTTGAGGACTTTTTTTGCTATTTTAGCCATTTTTTTTATTGCCATACATCTGTTTATTACCGCAGGTCCAGCTCTGTTAGTTGATGTGCCGAGGGACCAGAACATAACGGGTATCTCTTATCTCCAGCTACCATTCTTCGAATTTGAGTTGATTTTTTTTTCTTTGGCGTTAGTGTTGGGTCCTAACTGCTAATGATCAACAATATGATTTGAGAACTAATAATCTTTCTTTTTTCTTTTGATGCAGCCGAAGTCATGCAGTCATTGAAAATTCCCAAGGGAGTGCGTCGTGTGCTTTTCAGAACATTAAATACTGACAGGTAAGATCATTTAATGAAGCTGAGCTTAATTTAACACTAAAACACTAGTAGCATGATTTTACCAGTTTAATTATTTGGATAATTCTATCCGATCTGTCTTCAGCATCTTCCTTTGAGTGAGTGTTTACATTTCTTAGTCTATGGCCAATTGACATTTTTTATTTTTATTATTCTTTATGAAATTACAATCAAATTATATTCATATAAAAAATCATTAAATTAAATCAAATAAACAAACTAACAAATCAACACATACTTAGATAAATCTAACATAAAGTTGAACCATTAAACAAAATTTCATTAACTTTCTGCTAACCATTAAACAAAGGTTTCCTTGGCACTGTCCATTTTTATTTGTACATTCAATTTATACTATGGAGGGTAAATGATGTTCTGGATAAAATTTTTTCGATTTCAGGCAGCTTATGTTTAAAAGGGAGTTTGACTCAAGCTTTGTTGGATTTACAACGGATGGGGCAAGATGGTTGGTAAAGAACACTGACATCAAACTTGTTGGTAAGATATAGGGTTTAGAGTAAAAGAGTTTGAGCTACGTGCAAAATAATGCATTTGGATTGCTACAGTGTCTCTACATTAAACTTGGTAAATGTACTTACTTCCTACTATGACATAATTGCATTACTAATTATTATGCATATTGGGTTAGTGTTTTGGTGTTGCTAGACCTGATATTTCGTTTGTTTGTGTTATGTAAAACATTGACATTTCATGCATCCATGATGTGTTTTACATGAAAATTATGCGTCAATTCATATGACGTGGAAAACATGAAATACATTTGTTTTTGTTAAGCACATGTAGATTTTGCTAAAATTTTAAACCGTGTTTCCATGTTTTTTTTTTTTTTTTGGTATGGTTTTTGTGTAGTATTTTAAATTTTCTAAGTGTTGCTATGTTTGTTTCCTTGCAATATAAATGCCCCTTTGACTTATTTGTCCATCTTGAATTGTAGGAATCGATTACTTATCTGTTGCATCCCGTGATCATTCGGTTCCGGCTCATCTTGAATTTTTTGAAAGCAGGGTAAGAAAATTGTTCTTCAAGAACAGATCATTTTGTAACATTGTATGGCTTAATTAGGAACAAGGATGATGACCTGATATCCATAATTTGATTAAGCAGATCTTATTGTACCTTTTCCATCCATGAATCTTCAGAAGATAGACATAGAGATAGGTTTTCAAGACAACATAAAAAGGAACATGGGATTTTTACTATGCTGAATCACTAACCATATTATTCCATCTTCTCCAGGAAATCATTCTAGTGGAAGGCTTAAAACTTGATGATGTTCCACTTGGAATATATTCCGTCCATTGCTTACCTCTAAGGTTGCTTGGTGCTGAAGGATCACCGATCAGATGCATTCTCATCAAATGAAACATGTAATTAATGCAACTCAATCAGTGTTCTTATGCAAGAGATTTGGTCACAGTAACTGCTATCCTATGAGCATACTCTGGTTTTACTGAATTGAAAGAAACAATGTTGCTTTCGTTTTTGGACAAAGATTTGGGACTGATTCTTGAATGAAAAAACATTTCTGCTCTTCTCATATGTTTTAATTGTCTGACGTTTGGAGAGTTATCAATAGTTTAGTTTTCAAATTTGATTTGTTAACAGCAGAGTTAAGCTTTTTTTTTTTTTTTTTCAGATCATGGCTTCACAGTTGTATCATCATTTCTCTGTGAAAAGCTTGCCAAATTTTTTATTTTATTAGATTTTGAAGATAATGGAAGATTAAATCCAAATAAACGAGTATCTCTCCATAAACGGATAGACAGCTGCTTTTAATTTTCAAGTTGTTCGCAAACTTGGCAGTTTAAGCCGGCCGTACAAACCGTCACTCTCCCTTAAGTCACCATCAGCACACCAAGTAAGCCAATGACACGAGCGAACGATTCTAAACGCAACCAAGTTGTTAAAATTCCTCCTCGACAAAACTGAGTTAACTTAGCTGATTCGCTCTGCTTTCTGACTCCTTCACTCCACGATGACTCCGCTCTTCCTCCACCTCCTACTCCTCTTCTCCTCCGCCTTCACCTCCATCGCAACCCCAGCATACCCTTCTATCCCCGGCATGGGTTCCACCAGCGACTGCGGCCTCTCGGGAGGAGACGAGAATCCAATTCCCATCCGTCGCGAAGTCTACGGTAACGGCAGGATATTCGACATCAGCCATAGGTACACCAGCGGCATGCCATCGTGGGAATCCAACGACGGCTTAGGACAGTTCCTTTGGTTGCCTAAAAGCATGAAGAACGGTTCCCTCGCCAATAATTCGGAGATGAAACTTCCCGCACACACCGGCACTCACCTTGACGCTCCCGGCCACGTCATTGATCGGTACTTCGATGCCGGCTTCGATGTTGATACGCTCGATTTGGAAGTACTTAATGGTAACCAGTATATTAAAAAATAAAATTCACTTGTTTGATATAATTGATTTCTAATTCTCCTTTTTCTCGAATTGGAATTTTCACCTTACAGGTCCTGCACTGTTGGTAGATGTTCCAAGGGACAAAAACATAACCGGTCTGTATCTTTGCCTTTTCTTTTTCATAATTTTCTTGGATTTTTCATTTTATATTTTTATAATTTTGTTGTTGTTTTTTCTTTTTCTTATTATAGCTGAGGTTATGGAGTCTTTCAAAATACCCAAGGGAGTACGTAGAGTTCTTTTCAGAACGTTAAATACTGACAGGTAATTACATAAATAAGCAGCTTTTATGGTTCAAAGAAGGCAAAATCTGAGTTCAAATTTGTCAATTTTCAGGCGGCTAATGTTTAAGAAAGAGTTTGATACAAGCTATGTGGGATTTATGAAGGATGGGGCAGAGTGGTTGGTTAAAAACACTGACATCAAACTTATCGGTGAGATATTGCCATTAAAAATTCTCAAATATTTTTAATTAGTTCTGGTTCTTGCTAGCCTCTGCAAAAAGAACTTGTAGTTTTGATGAAATGTTTGTCTATTCTGAATTGCAGGAATTGATTACTTGTCTGTTGCTGCGTTTGACGATTTGATTCCATCTCATCTTGTTTTTCTTGAAGGCCGGGTAAGAAATCATCATCTTATGTGTTAATTATCTTCTATGTTTTAGTTTTGGCAATAATTTTCCATTAATCTTTAAACTCTTGTCTGTTTATGTGATCAGGTTATATTATTGCTGAGTCAAATTTGGTTTCCTGCTTCTTAAGTTCATGAATTGCATTCGAATGTGTCTTTGTATTACTTGATTCTATAATGTCTTCTTGGCCTAGTCCGATTTCGGGCTTATATTCCATCAAAACTGATTTATTATAATGGACATATTTGGACACCAATGCTTTCACATATTCAAAATTAAAGAAAAGAAACCTAAAGGAAACTTCTTTGCACTAACTTGGTTAAAATACAATCTCATAATACGCTATGAAAAATACAATCTCATAATACGCTATGAACTAATGTGAAATTCGTGACTTAACAGTCTGTTCCTTCTCCTTCCTTAGTTTGACCCGAAAATTATTGGGGACTCACTCGACCATCATGTTTCTTGGATGAACAAAGTTATGGTGATATTGCTTAGGTCTCTCATTAAATTGCAATCCTTAGGTTAGTTGTTCATATTTCACTTGGGTTGCTGGTGTTGTAAGCTATAACTCTACCATATCTGATCTCGGTATAACTGTTTAGTAAAGGTTTTCTAATGGATTTAACCACATTAAAATTGATCAGCTAGTTGAGAATGATACATATGCTTCAAGTTTGAGAATGATACATAATAAGAGTTTCCCTTTTGCTCCCACATGTTTCTTGGTTCTGGCCTTCTATATCTGGAAAGTCAATCAAGCTTGAAATCAAGTTATTTTACATGTATGCTTTTGATAACATAAAATCCCCTCCGTTCTGTTACTCCGAATACTCTGATTCAAGGGGAAAAATGTGGTGTAAAACACCCACACATTGCTAATGCTTGTCATCTGCTTCAGGAAATCATTCTTGTGGAAGGCCTAAAACTTGATGACATCCAACCTGGAATATATTCTGTCCATTGCTTACCTTTAAGGTTGCTTGGTGCTGAAGGATCGCCAACAAGATGCATTCTCATCAAATGATGCATTTTCCTCGTAAGTCCTGCATTTCACAATTTTTTCTACTATCCAAAGCAAAGCATGCATTCATCATTCTTGTGGCATGGAATCATTGCTACTGTGGGTTTACGCACCTAAAAGGCTACGTGCTTATTGTGTTAGGTAAAACAAGCAAGTTATATTTTCACAATTTTCCCTACTTAGTTATGGTGGAAGACTCAACATGAAGTCATGAATGGGTATTTTTGCAGGTTAAATAATAGCGGTAGGAGGTGATGTTGTTTGGAATAAGAGAAATTTCGGGTTTATGAGTTAGATCTGAATGCTGTTACATACACGTAGAAGGGAGATGTGCAGTACAGAAATTTAGTTGCATGAAGCACACTTTTCTTGTAATATATCATATAGTATCTGTTTAGGTTTTTTATTGATAACATAAATAATAGACATTCACTAGTGTTTCTGAACATCATGGATGGATTTGGTCACTGATTGTAATTGTTGGCGATGGTGTCTTCTTGACATCCCAAAGGAATTTTCACAGATCCATGATTGGAAAAGCCATCTTTATGAAAGTTGAATGTGTCAGTATGTGGGTTGTGCTTATATGTCAGTCCGGCTCCTTCCAGCATTTGTTTTTTTTTGGGGGCCATAACTTGCTTGTTAGCTTCGTCATCTAGTGGCTGCAGTCACAAACAAGTTGGATATTGGTTTTCAGTTTTCAGAATTTGCATTGGCATTGGGAGCGTTAATCTAACGAATGCACCGGAAGGGCCAATTTCTTCGACGGAAAAAGTTGAAAGAGGCCTTGGGTGTTGTGAAGCTTTGCTGGTTGTAATGATGGGCCATTTTGCTTGTTCTTTTTTGGGCAAAATTTTCCTTTCATGGACCCGTGCTTTTTGCAAGATATCCAGCTGAAACATTATGCAAACGAGGCCAAGCCCCAGTTTCTACAATAATAGGCCTTGATGGTGTATGAACCATAATGTCCATTAATGGTTTGTTAGCGTTTGATGATTGGACTTTGGGATTTGGCAAATCGGAGCCCAAATTTTGGGAATACAGGTTGTCTTTTCTTTCAATTGTGATATGCCCTGAACAGTTCATTTTATATTATCAGTATATGCTTCCCGTCAAGTAATACCATATTAAGGGTTACAGACCTGAGACCAATGGATTTTTATATGATTGTGTTTCCTGCAAGCTTGTAAAATCATTAAATCATGACAAGTGACAGACATGGTTAAATGATGTAGTGGAAAGATGAGAAATTCCTATGATATCTGAGGGGAAGAAAACTGTTGCTCTGATGATTTTCCCGTCAAGTACACTGCAAATAGGCAAAGACACTTATCACAAGGCAAATGCACTTTCTTTACCATTCAAATACAATGTTTCTGTGACTAATTCTTTATAGTGCAATGCACTTACTACGAACTGTGAAAGACAGCCACGGGTTCTATTTCTATTAAGGAATCTGGCATGGCCAAAGCCACAGCTCTACTAGCTATATATGTGCTTGACATAGAGATGTTGGATTGGTGGTTTTATTTTCCACACCAAACAATGAGAAATGTGACGTCTCCATCGTCTCCCAACTCCATTGCTAACTCCTTGGTTGTTTTTATCATCAATTTGCAGTAATTCTATGTCATTTTGTGTTTGAGCCGCTTCTTTATGGTCCCTATTTCTGGAGGATATTGGGAGGATCAAAGTCTGTGAGCTTTTGTAACCATGGCGGAAATTTACAAATCTAGTTTGTATGTTGTGGTCAGTTGGGATTTTGACATCCTAACTAATTGAGTGTAGTGGCAATGAACTATTAATAGATTGTGAGAGTGACAAACTTGATGTTACTGCAAATTTATTGCAGTAAGGACAGCAAAGGACACGAGGGAAAAAAAATTTGTCCCGTAAATTTATTAACTCAAGGAAAATAGAGGTTACACTTCTTACCATGAGCCAAGGGAAGTTAATTGAACAGCTTTTTGCTGCAGTTTTGTTACCTTCCATGTTTCAATTTCGTTTTAACGAAAGAGTAGTGATTAGTTATGGGATGGAAGTGTCTTGAAATATTTTGTCTTTTTTGCATCACAATTTTACTGTACAAAGTTATCTTGTGGAGAATAATTGCCTTAAGTATAACGGTTTGGTAGAATTTATGTCATTTACTTGAACTTTTTTTAATCCATTTTGCTTGGACTTTTCCTTATTTTCCATACTGTCATTGAAATCCATGTTCATGGTTCACCTAAAAGCGTCTGCCAAAAAAGAGAGGGAATGCAAAAGATGGCTTTTGGCGCTCACTTGAAAACATTATAGTACAAGACCTTGTTTGAAATTTTGTAGCCTCTTTGAAAATTTGACTCCTGATTGTGGCTGGGTCACCTTAGCCTGCCAAAAGATACTAAAATCTTTGTCTGAGAAGCAGACATACTTGCAGGGGACAGCCAAGTTTCAAAGTTTATGGGACGTGGCTGACCCTGTAAGACATTAAAAACTCCAATTGTCCTTTTCTCTGACCATGGAAAGGGACTCTTGAGGCCCAGAAGCCAACTCTACATGGCATAGCAATAAATTTTACCGCTTTAAAAAGGGGAAAAGAGTGTAACACGAGACCCATCAGCACCTTGGGTTTACCCTCCCAAGGACCACCCACCCATCAACCATAACCCTATTCTTTGCCATTATTTTTCTACATTAAATGCTTCTTGTCTCCACTTATCCCCCATTCTTTTCTTCTTATGTGCTTGGCCTATGCCCTACCTCTCAGCTCCCCTTTGAGAAATAGCTTTCTAAATATGAAACAAATAACTTTATCGAGTGTATACACTTCGACCTCATTGAAGGTTTTGTTCAATAAGGTTCCCTCATGGGATCTTTTGATTCAAGGTTTAATTAATGGAGTTCCATTATTCTCAGGACATAGCTGTCCTAAGCTGGGCAGCCAAGCAAGTGGTCCTGAACAAGTTGCGTCAGTTCATTTAGTATGTTAGATAGGGTTGTTTATTAATCAAACAAGTCAAGCTCACCGATGAGCTGTTGCTGAGCTTTTATGAGCGATGACGCAATTTCCTATTGCTCAGGCGGCCTCAGACTGTGTTTGCACAGCATGAAGATGAACAATACATCAGGTCCATAGATGCTTATCCGACACATATTCTAATCCATTCTCTCGAATCATTAAAACATTCATCAGGACTACTCGTTTCATTTACCCTTTGTCTAAACTAGGAATCGAATAGTTTGATCAAACCATTTTAGTTGTCTCAAAGTTAACGCCAAAAGATTCTATCCTGAACTCAAATTTTAGTTTAGTTAGTACATGTAATTCATCTTACAAGATGATATTTAGTATATCAGAGATCAAATTTTAGCATTTATGATATTGTCTGTTGTTTCCAAGCTGCGTTGTTTTTGCATTAAAAATTTTTTCTTATATTTTTTTACCTCCTTTTTCTTCTCGTTCATTCCAAATGTTTAATTGAAGACAGTTAGATAACTTAGGTGATATGTTCTCACAATAATGAAGCGAATTGCACATAATCAGGATAGGCTTGGGCGAGATGGTTTATGATTTTGGCATTTCATGGAGATAGTGACGGCTGCCAAAACATTGGATGCCGATTGTGTAGTATCGACATTAACTCTTTAACCGGCGGGATGCAATGCAATGCAAGGCAAGTTGACATTGGTTTGGGGCCTCCACTTCTGATTTATTTGGGGCCATGTTAGGCAACAATTGCTGCATTTTCTCTAAAGACTCTCGCTCTGATACGGTTCCCAGGGCCAAATTTATCGTGATATATACCTCTTAAAAGAGTTTGAGACACATTTTACATATTTGTTTACTTGTTGTAGGCCATCACAGTTTTAATGACAGCCATGGTAGATTCTTAGATTAGGGTCAGAGTTTGCCATTCCTGGAAGCTACAGTTGAATTTTATGTTGTGAAAAACCTTATTGAAAGGTTAGGGATCATAACATTTTGGTAGCGGTTGTCAAGATAGAGTATTTTATGAAACAGTTACGACACGTAAGTTAATATTCACTTTAATCATTTGATTCATAATATTTCTCTCTTTGAACTCATTTACATTTTTTTAATCTGATTTTTTATTTTTATTAAAAATGAATTTTCAGTTCTGAACATGATCATTCTATTAGAAAGTTTTTTTTTTTTCTTTCCAAATGATTTTTTATTTTTATTTTTGAAAATTTTTTACTGAAACAACTCAACCACCGTACGAAAACTTGAACTCAAGCTTTTCAAGAAAAAACTCTTGGTCTCTTTTCTAATTTTCTTCTTCTCTCTTGAATTGGTAGATCGTAACATAAAATAAGAATTTTTTATTAAAAAAAAAAAGTAACTGCAAGGATAAAAATTCTTTGCATCTCATGTTTTATCTGCAATTTAAAATAAAAAAGTTTACAGCTTTTTTATTTTATCCTTTTTCAAGAACAAAAAATTCATTTATAAAAAAAAAATAAAAAATAAAAAATAATTCTTGAGTTTGAGGACAGAGAAATGTCATGAAAAATTAATATCATTTGATTATGTGTCAAATGACATGATATTGAATGATGATTTGAAATTAAGCAATTGAAAGGGATACAAATTGAGATGGGGTAACTGTTTTATAGAAAATTTTCTCATATCTAAATATGAAAAGAAGTTAGCTTAGAAAGTAACTTATTTTTTTATATATATATTTTTTTGTTTTTGATATAAAAGGAAGTTACATATTATTTAAATTTTAAATTTATTAGATATTATTTTTTTTAAATAGTTATATAAAATAATTAAATTAAAATTTTTTTGTTTTGTTAATTATGTTTTTATTTTTTTACCATAAAGGTAATACAGTTGATAAAGAAAATAAATTTTTTGTCAATTACGCTAAAATAAAATTTTCAATCCACCAATTTGATATAAAAAAATATTTTTAAAAATCGATTAAATCCAAGCATAATATAAGAAACCTTGTAATCATATTGTCAAAAAAAAAAATTCATTTCCATTATAAAAAAAAAACCCTTGACTGGGACACGGACCCACAATCCTCTATGGTCATCTCTTATGTTGTCCTTTAAACTTTACAGCTGTGAGTACGAAAAAGAAAGTATACAAGTAGAAGTGCAAAAAGAATTGAAAAATGCATTAGAATTGAGAAGAGTTTTGGATCAAAATTAGTTCAACTTATTTACGTGATATATTGTCTACAGGATAATAGATAAAATTAAAAAAATAATTATTTTATATTATATTTAATTCGTATTTAAAAAATTAATTATTTTTTTGATATAAAATTTCTTAATCTTTTCAAAGTAAAAAATTATTTTTAATTTATAAAATCAAATTTCCATGTTTTATTATATTTATTAAAATTATATTAATAATTTAAAATATATAAATTTTTAAATAAAATAATTTTAATCAATAAATAAATTATTATATTCATAAAATATAAAATAAAATAAAATAATATTAATTTATCCTATTATAATTTTATATAACAAATGATACTACAAATAACACTATATCAATGAAGCAATAAGAAGGAAAAGTGAGACTATCGGAGGTCAAAAGATTGTTCAAGTTGAAAAAGCTAAAGAATAAAGCTGTAATCATATTATTCTACAATTATTGGTGTGGGGATGGACAGAAGTCATGACATTTTGGTTCTCGGGAGCAAGCTGTTTCCCTTTGAAAAAACAAAACATTCCTTTTTTTTTTTTCTTTTTCTCTCTTACATGAATCATGAGCACTTGCACACACTACATAATCTACCGTCTGCCAACACCCCCCACCCTCCAAAAAAAAAAGGGTCCCAAAGACAATATCCTATTACACCAAAGATTTTTGTCTCCCAATGTCAAAATTCCCAATCTATTTTTTTCTCTCTCACCTTTTTATATGGGTTGAGTGGGAGACCCCCTTAAACTACAGCCACAACCTTGTTTTCCATATTACTCTTTCATCATTTTTTTAATTATTTTTTTACCAAAATATCGTGGATAATTTTTTTAAAGATGATAAGATTAATTTTAATAAAATTAAAAATAATAATAATAAAATTATGTAAGATTAAATATTATAATAATAAAATTAAAATCAATGATTAAAATATATAATTAAATGTAAACACAATAAAAATTATAAAATTAACTATGAGAAATAACTTTTATAATCAAATATTTTTTATTTTTATATTAAAACAATGATTATCCCAATAACATTTTTTTCCTTGAATTAAAGATCGAAGGAGCATTGGAGCCATTTATATTACGTGATGTTATCTAAATGTTTATTTTTTTTTACGAAAAAATTTTTAATTTAAATTTTATCGATAATTATTTATTGAGATTATTTTGAATATAAAATCTGTAATTAATTATTTTAAATTATCAAGTATAATCTAATTTATTTTAATTTAAAAAATTAAATAACTTATTTATCTTTAAATTTTTATTGCTAAAAAAAAATGTTACCCTAATGCATTTCACGATGCAATTAGACTAAAAAAGGGTTTTCGATTTAGGTGCAATGGAATCTAAATTACGCGTTAGTTTGCCTTTGCTTGTAAGATGGTCTAGACAAGCAATGTAATGTGTGGTTCTTTTATCGTCAACCATAAGATTATGATTTAACTTTATGGCCTCCGTACGAGAGTAATTTAACCCTATCTAAGGGTTTGAAGTCCTTAAAAACAATTGATGAAGTATAAGAGTTAGACCAATTTACACTTTACCATATAAAACAAATGATTAATTAATTCCAGCAAATAGTAGTGTTATTTTTCCTACTCAATCATTTTAACCTTTTTACCACGTTGTTAAAATTATTATTATCCATTTAATGCCATCACCCAGCGTGGTGCTTTATAAATTATTTAGCCTAGAATTGTATTGCATTTTTAATATGATACAATTGAGTTTATCATATCACAAATTGAATCTAAATATTTATTTCAGTAAAGTTTATTAAATATAATATTTTTTCAATCGAAGTTATAATCACTTTTATTATGATTTTTAATTCCATTAAAATTAATTTTACCATTCATTCAAATGAAACTTTAATTATTTTTACGTTTATAAAAGATAAAATTTTCACTTTAAGGTTTTGTTTAGTTAAAAAGATGAAAAAAAGTGATAATGAAATTTTTGTTAATTTAATGATTAATTTATAAAAAAAAAAGTTGTAATAAATTTTAACAATTAAATTAACAAGTTTTCTATTTTTTTTTATCAAAAAAAGCCTAGGTATAATAAGTGATGTGTGGCAATTGATGCATGTTAAGATGGAAATTGTGATAAGATTTCAATTCTCAAATTATAATAGTAATAACACCCAATTTAAAGAAGTGAAATGCAAAATTAAATTTGAAAAACCGAAGGGGTCTAATTTTTTTCCCATCAAAAAGTGGATAAGCAATTCTTTTTTTTATTTTATAAATTTGAATTTCATATTTAATTTAATTAATTCATACAATTATTTTTATAAAAAAATACTATCTAATAAATTTAAATTTAATATCTGCATTTTTTTTGAAATTTCAAGCTATGATATTTTTGTAAAAAAAAAAAAAAAAAACCTTACAACATGTTAAAAAGTGAAAGAACTTGTTTTCCCTCCTTATAAAAAGATTAGATACTATTTCTTTCATTTTAAAAATGAAAAAGAATAATAGTTTAAAGTATTGAGACATCTGAATTGGCTAAAATGCGCACAGATTCAATATGCGCAGATTAGCAAAAAAAAAAGAAGAACATGGAAGTTTACGGAGTAATAGTAAGGAAATAATATTAATTATTAATTTTATTTTTTGGTTATAAAGCTGGAAAGGATTATGGTGAGTTAAATGGGAGTTTGTCTAATCTGATTAAGGGAAGATTCGATCAAATTAAAAAAAAAAATGGAAACATCCCAAATTGTTTATAGTATGAAAATGAATTCAAATTTAATTTAATTGATTAGAATTATTATTTTTAAAAAATAAAATTTAAATATAAAAAGTTATAATTTTTTTATTCTCAAAATATAAACTCTTTTATATAAAAAAAAAGACTGAGAACAGTAAAAGCAAAGCAGTTTGTGAGCACTGTTTTGTCGTTTACTGCTTTGCGTAAAAATTCATCTGCATATTTTTCAATTATTAAATGACGATTGACTTGAGCAATAAGCATGAAGCCATGGACAAAGGCGATGGCTCAAGGGCCCTGCACAATCCTATTCAAGTTTTTTTCCCAGCTTACTTAACGCTCCTAGTAAGGCGCGTAGCTAGTGGAACATGTTAGATTTCCGTAGCTTTTTTACTATTATCCATAATCGACAACTACGACCAATAGACGGTGTGTTTTCAAGGCCAAAGGCCACGACTGGGTTTTGTTTGAGGGATGAGAGGGAATGGATTATGGATCACCTCAACAAAGGGGAAGGTCAGCACTTAAAATGAGGTCAAATCTCCTAATCCAAGAGTCTTGAATCAAATCCCACCGGCCAACATCCTCTATAAGTCTTTCCCCCTGCACATGAAAACAAACCCTTCTTTTTACTTTTTTTTTTGTGTACATTCCTCAACGAGTAAGTAATAAAATGATTTTGTCAGCCATTGATTATAGTTAAATGGGTAATGAGAAGATTTGACACAAACATTGCATAAAACAAAATTGTTTCTGAATTTATTTTATATGATGATGATAGTAAAATATTAAAATATATGTCCACATAAAGTATGCTTTGAAAAAGACAGTTGCAGATGGAAAAACGGAGGTGCCAAAATGCATACATTCTTCAATGCTCAATCTCTCTTTTTTCTCTAAGCCACTTTGTCTTTTATTTGGTCTAATTCCAAGCAGATTTTTTTTTTCTTTTACTTTTGAACTTGAAACTCGATTCCTTGAACCAACAGGTGACATAAGCATAATAAATATAGATATTCTTCGGAGAGAGAGAGAGAGAGATTAAGAAGGGCTGCCAACGATGTCAACAAAGACTCGGTTGAGTGATGGCAAAGGCATTCCTTGTTCTTGGGCTTTGCTCTTCTTAAAGTGTGGCTCATGTGATGAGGACACTGAGACTGACGACCCCACAGCCCAAGAATTGTTTGAGCTATCACTGCTAAACACAGCATCAATCACCCCAGTAGGGCTGCTAGGAACCGTCTCGAGCTTCCTCTTGCTCCGATGACAAGGATTACTGTATGCATTTTTTTGCTGTCTCGTTGATAGATCAAGAATGACTTTGTAACAGTCATTTACTTTTTCCTGTTGCAAAGCAGTGGAGCAATAAATTATAATGTGCAAATATTTTGCTTTTATTGGAATGTTTCAAAATTTTGACATAAATAAACAATTATGAAGAAACTGCTTTAATGATTAGGGACAAACCTTGCTTATTTTAAGAATACTCAAAAGCTGGTTTTGGTAGTCTATGGGATTGAACGGCTCAACTTGGTCTATAACATGCATCATTGTTGCAGTGGCCAATACAGAGGGAAGATAATGGACGGATCTTGAATCTACAAACACCCAAAAGAAAACATAGGCCAAATGATGAGGGAAGAAAAACACACACAGTGGGTATCCTTTTTGTCCTTTTAGTAACTGTTCTCAATGAATCTAAGGTTAATTTCAAAGGGAACTTGGCAGAGCAATCATGGAGTGCTTACCAGAGATTACACAGAGGAGGAGACGCTCACATCTCCTGAGAAACTCCCAATGGAGATGAATTTTTAATCCAAGCCTTCTTATGATGTGATCAAGAAATGAAAGTGGCGTAGTTGGATGCATCTTCCATTTCAAAGTGGAGAGAACCAAAAGCTCCATTCTTTGAATAGTTTTGGCCTCAAAAACATATTTTGTCTCCTCAACCTAAAACGAAAGGAAATCAATGCATGTTATTGACTCTCGAAGACATGAAACGATGACAATTTAAATGGAGCATATTTGTCAAGATTGTTGTTTTGAACATACTTGTAGGTCTAGAAGAAGAGGCACTTGCGTCTCTTCAACTTTCGCTGCCAAAGAGATGCAAGTCACAGCTACAAGGTGGATCATCCAGGGCTTATCTCTTTGAAAATTAAAGCTATCCAGGAATCTATCCAGATAGTTAATCGAAAGTATAGCAGTGAGAGTGGTGAATCCGTAGCGAGCATTGACTTTAAGCATCCATTCCACCGCCTCACGGCGAGCCACTGCTAGAGACTCATCAGTTTCCACGTTGTTGGGATTGAGATGACGAGCCGCCTGCTGCTGTTTTTCTTTAGAGAAGAGTGAAAGAAGTTCCTCATCATCCCAAAACAAATCTTGCTCCAACAACAAAAGTGGAAAAAGAGACGGGTTTCTACCATTAATGTTACAGCCCCTGGAACTCCCTTCCTGTAAAACTCCCCCAACACCATTTTCATCCTCTTCCCATTTCTCTTCTTCACAGTAGAGAGCATCAAGCAAGAAAGAAGGCTGGTTCTGTTCTTGTTGCTGTTGTGAATATTGCTGTTCATGTTGTTGTATTGCCATCTTCTTCCACCAAGAAGAAGAGGGTTTCGAGTCCACCCTTAGCTCATAATACAAAAGAAAACATCCATAAACAAAACCTGGTTGAGATACCCCTCTCTCTCTATCAACCTGGGTAAGTGTTAAAAGAGTGTAGAATAGCTAATAGAGCTATAGATGGGGAATGGGATAGAGATTGGAGAAAGCCAAGAGGCAGTGAACAGAAAAGAAAGCTTAAAAGAGGAGGGATTGATTTTTACAAGAGTGGGTTTCACGCTTGTCCTTTAGTTTAATCAATAAAATATTTGCATGTTTCTGAATGGAATTCAGTTGGGTTTTTATGTTTCGTTGGCGGGCAGAGAACTGTAACGGCACACACACCGAGCCTGACCCCATGAAAACAACTCTTCTTATTTTGCCTACCAAAATAAAGACGCACTGTGCTTTAGCATATAGATTCTTGAGGAATTCATTAAAAAAAAAAAAACTGAGAGAAAGAGAAAGAAAAAAGCGAGAAGTGGAGCTTGCATTAAAATTTCAGATTACTACAGGTTTTACATGGGGATCATAATTCTTATTCTATAAAGTCACTCAACGTTGAAACCCGAATATTAATTATATTAAAATTAAAAAAAAAAATTTAACTTTGAAAAATTAATATATGATAAATAATTTATGATGAAATAAATTTTAATTTAAAATAACTATTTTATTCTATCCATTCTTATCTCTCTACAATAAAAAAATTAATTTAGACTTTAGAAAACGATCACTAGTTATTCGAGATCTAAAAAATATAATAAAAATATTGATAATATGTATAGTAATAGTAGAATATTTTGGATCTGGTTTCCAAGCTCAATTGTTCAAAACTTGAAAATTTATGAAGCATCAAATCAGTTTATGCAATGATAAAAGTTTAAAGTAAAAGGCACGAGTTTGACTAGAACGGTATATGCTGGGTAATAGAAGTGGAAAAAGCCAAAAAGTAAAAGAGTGAACGACAAATTTTTACTTAAAAATTATAGTTGAAAAGTCAAGAGAAGGTAATTATGGTTAGATTTTTTTAATGCAAAGGTAATTTTGGAAGGGACATAAATGGATAAAAATAATGATACTGTGTATAGGATAGGGTTAAGGAGTATTTTTGAATCCAACTATTAAATACGTTTTTTTTTTTTAGTAGAGATTGTCAACAAATAATTAAAATTATTTTTTATTTTTAGATTAATTTAATATGTTAAGTCAATTTGATTTATATAATATCACATTAATTTGATTATTTTACTATTTTATTTTATAAAATTTTTATTCTTCGATTATAAATAAAATCATTAAAATATTATCTATTCATCTAATTATTTTCCTTTACTCTCTTTTTTTTTTCTTTTAATTTGAGGATTGAAGCGTAAACGTATGAAATATATACTTTTTGGTTGTAGTGGGAAAATTTCGCAATTATGAAATGTATAAATACATGATACTATTCATTTTTTAATGTAGTTGAGTTTTTGGAGCAATCAATTGTATAATAATAGTAGTTTTTAATAATAATAAATTAAATTTAGAAAAATCTTAATTAACTGAAATTAAATACTAAATTTGAACCATGCGATGAAAAATAATTTATCTCATTCACTAAATTTTGACTTCTAATTTGTAAATTATAAATGTGAAACTGTCAAATTAAAATTTTAAAATTTAAAATTAGAGTGACATAATTTTTATATTTAAATAATTATATATATATATATATATATTTAGCACCCCATGGGTTACCAAAGTAAAAAGGATTTTAGTAACAAAATTTATAATGTCACATCATATCATATAAAATATTATATTTATATCGTATTTTATATAAAAATTATATATTATAATTTATATTAATAAAAATATAAAATATATATTTTTAATTTTATTAAATTTATTTATGATTTATATTAAAAATTTAAATTAAATTATTTTTATTTTATTTAACCATATAATTTTTATATCATATTATTATATTATATTTTACGTTTTCATATCAAATAAAGAAAATATTTTTCATTTTTATTATTGTGGAGTTGGTTCTCAATCATAAAACGTACCAAATCCATTTTTGGAAAACAAAAACATCAAAGTGAATGATTTGTTACTGATCCCCACCCAACTACCTGTCTGATTAAGTGTGATTTAACATTTTAATTAGCTTTATTAATCGAAGTAACAAATTAATCTAGCTTTGCATCATTATTATTTCTCCTTTTCATGCAATGTGGTGGCAATGATGCCGATAACATCACTGATGTTTTGATTTGGATGTTAGAGATAAATTTTGAAGTTTGTTGACTTTGTGCAAAAAAAAAATTGTTGAAAATTTTCATTGCTTTATTGAATTTTTTTGGATTTTTTTGGGCTAAAAATGAATAAAATCTGACAGCAATGATTAGAACCATTCTAATATATATACATTATAAAAAAAAACTGGATTTTAAGATTCAACATTTAAAAATCTTAAAATTTTGTATGATAAAAAATATATATTAAATTTATAAGATATAATAATTTAAAATATGATATAATTACGATATAAATAAAAATATAAAATATTATGATTTAAAAATTTAATAATAATTATATATATTTAATAAAATTTTAAAAAATATTATATTTTTATATCTATACGAATTAAAATATATAATTTTTATATAAAAATAATATAAATATATAAATTTTAATATTTTATATAATATAAATACATAAATAACTATATCTAAGAACCATCCAAAGGTAAAGACTTGGAACCAAGATAGTCCAAATTCTTTGTTCTTAATTTATTGCATGATATTGATATATTTGTAATCACTGCTAGTACTTGACCTAGCTTAGTCTATTTATTTATATAATTAAATGCAAGTACTGTGATGCAGTAGTCAAAGACTGATAAAAAGGTGGAGAAGTACATGTCAAACTTCTTCAACTACTCAGACTTTTCAGTAAGTCTGGTTTGTTGTTCGATTGTCTCTGTTATGATCACAGTGGAATTATAGACATAATTGCTTCAAGAATTCAAAGCAAGAAACAAGAGAAGAAGTCAATTCATCTGTGCTCCGAAAGAAACAACCTCTTAGCTATATAATTCACCCAATTATGTCTTACATAGCTTTGAAATTAAGTTTGAACTAATGAAAGGGTGAAAAAACCAACCAGCTCGAGCTTTTGACATTCTGACACTCAACTTATCAAATAAAACAAGCTCCAACCACTCCATGGAAATGGCATCCATGGTAGAATGGAAGTTGTGGAACTGACTTCATGGCTCCCACAGTTGCTTAGTGGGTTAGCATAATTAGTGCTTGAATGTGACATGTTCAATTAATTTAACCATTTTTCCCCAAAAAATTCATCAGTATCATAATGGCAACAGTTGTGGAAGATTTCACGTTTGTTCATTGGTCAGCATATGAGTTACAGCCTGGTCAGACGAGTAAGTCAGAATTGCCATAACCAATGAAAAAAAGAAAAACATAACACTGTATTCCTGGAAGTACAAAGTAAAAACAGATTATCATGCATGCAGCTGTGGAAACTACTGCTTGTTAAAACATATATATCGTTACAGGGTAAAAAGTGATTAATCCTAGCAACAATAGACGTAAACCCAATCTATTTCATAGCTGTTTTTGTCTTTTTAAAGACAGATGGTTACCATGAAAACTCAGAGGGACAGCTTTCCCCATATGACAAACTCATAAAATTTCTCCACTATGTGAAACTTGTGCAAAATAATTGGGAGACAGTTCTTGTACATAGGCGAATCTATGACATTATAACATAGTATTTAGCTGTAGTAGACATGTTATTTTGCAAGAAGGTATAGAATCATATCTAACATCAAACGCATTGTAGTTTGTGCTTGCTTATTCATCGGGAGAACAGCACACCCTCCAATCTGCACTTTCACCTCGTAAACTACATTCCCCGGATATTTGGGGTCAATTTTGAGACCAAGAGCAGAAGCAAGCCGATAGAAGAGTAGCCATTTCCAAGGCCTTTGCAAAGTTTGAGATGAGAGGCAGTGCCCAATCATCAAGTCCAACAGGCCTTAAAGAGGAAATCACGTAAAGGGCAAGTGGAAAGTTGGGCCTTCTATTGAGTCCTATTAATATTTAGAACCACAGCTCATCCCAAAGAAAGGGCGTTAACAGGCCAACCCAATTCCAAAGCAGGAGGATCTCACCCTCCCTTGCAAAAAGATCAAGTGCCTGAGCACATAGTATTATTATCTGGTTTAATAAGAATGAACAAATGAACAAACAACTACCACAAACTTCCACCCACCAACTCAAAAGAAAAAATAAACCACATCAGTCCTGTCCCTTGACTAGAAAATCATGAACAGTCAATTCTATACAATGGCTAACCGAAAGTTCTAATTTTTGTTTCCTCAATAGGATATCTAGAATTTAAGTACTTTTTTGTGGGCCACATAAGCCCAATGCATTTGGGTTACACAGCGGGAGGTAACCCTCTCCCATCCGTAATCCCAACCCCCTGCAAAGAGATTCGGACCTCTAGGCCCTCTAATTTGAAAGACTCTTTACGTTCTAAAAGTTGGAATGTCTCCTCCCTGGGATTTTAGTATGGTGGTGGTGGATAAAGACCCGGAAAAGGACCTGCTTGAAAAACAAAACAGAACTTCAGTACTATATTTAACATGCAAATAGTAGTATCAAAAGATATATAATATATGACCTAAGTTACCTGGGGGATAATAGGTTGAGGCTGGTGGATATGTAGCTGGAGGATATGCTGAAGTTGGGGGAGGTGGAGGGTACGCAGAAGGTGGAGGAGGATATGTGGATGAAGGATATGAAGGATACGAAGGATATGCAGGATATGGTGATGTAGTTGGATATGTTATAGCTGGTGGTGGATAAGAAGCTGAAAGTGTTGGAGGGGCAGAATATAGAGGGACTTGAGGAGGAGGAGGATCTGCATATGGTGGTGCTGGAGTATATGTTGCGGCCGGGTGCTGCAGCAATACAGAAAACTATTTAGTTCCACTTGTTTGAAAAATATTAATGAAGATGGACAATAAAGTACAATACATGGCGCTTACTTTGGCATTTCCATAATGCATAATGAGCCGCACTTCTCCAGCATATCTGCAATTTGAAAAAGAGGAAGAGTCAGTAAAAGCTCAAGAATGTTTTGCTAAAAACACTTTTTAAAACTTATGTAACACTAATATCTGAAGAAAAAATCACATTAACAAAACTCGAAATAGTAAATTATGTGCTTCACAGATGTTCGTTCTGTTTAATACCTAAATTTAGACTATACCAATATTTCTAGAAACAAATGGTATTTGAATTTCTATTCTTACTATCATACATGTACCTCCCAAGAAAATGTTATGGGATTCCAATAAAGTTATAAGTTAAATCACCATATATGAGAAACCATGAAAATAAAAAAATAGAAAATGGTTTTGGCCCCAAAAGTATGGAATATGATGAGAAATCAATTTACAAGTTAAAAGTTAAAACTAAATTAGATATATTTGGTTACCTTCCAAACTTAGCTTCTTGTTTTCATATCAATAAATTAGAAAAGTCATCAATTGAGCTTGAAACCAAATGTCTCTTACTGAAATAACAAATAAGGTTTTGACAAACTCAACTGCTATTGATGAAAATTAATGAAACCTCAAAAAATAAAGCAGAACACAGCTTGAAGTTATAATGAATCTAATTTGTCAAAGCCTAAATTATGGTATCTCACAATGACCACAAACCTAAAGAAAAGAAAATATATTTGATGTAAAAAACAGCATTATAACATCTATGGTGCAAGACATTGCTGCAATACATGTTTGACAGCAACTATGTGTCTATGTCCATGAATAGAAGCTATATTAAGAAATATCTTTCTGTTTGAGGACAACTTACACATGCATACATGAATGACAACCTATTTTCTTCCTCATAAACTGTGAGTAAAAAAGAAGCACACAGGAAATAAGAAGCAATAATGTTTAACTTTTAACAGTAATTATAGGATAAAAGACATTAACATTATTGCACCTCTAAGCTCTAGAGGAGACTAAGACAAATTAGAAACAACAGAGATTCCAGAGTTATGTGGAGAAATTAAACAGGATTTCATAGCCAATATTGCTAAAGCATTCAAAGTGATCACTAGACTATCTAATTTATAAGATGGTGAAAATATCCATCTCGAGTGCCATTAGATTTTTCATCAAAACATATCTTATTCTAGTACAAGCTAAAAACCACCATTAGATTCAATTCCTTTACCTGCCAGTTTTAGTCTGAAGCGGCCAAGGAGTATCATCATAACCCTGAGAAAGAACCTTCTGCAATTGAACCCTGTAAGCCAAAAATCCCAACCAAAAAAAAAAAAACCAAAATGAGTACATATCTTCTCAAAAGCAAAGATTAAATAATTAAAAAGGCGAATTCTTACTTTCCGTTGCCAATAAAATCATCGTACGTCAAAGTGTTGCTGTTCCAAACCACCACATTTATCTCTCTAAGCCCTTCAATCAGCGTGAACGTAAACTTCTCTTGGAATATGGGCGTTTTGCCACCATCTAAAAAAACCCAAATCATATTTCAGACCCCAGAAGCTAATTTTTCACTTAGATGCCAAATCCCAGATCAGGAACAATGTATATATTAAAAGAGAGAAATTACCTGTGCAGGTTCTTGTACGGTACTTGTTGGTACCATATTCAAGACGAACGTAGGGATCTTGCCTTGAAATCCATTCAGTATCCTTCAATTTATTACACCCGACAACTGCCACAACCAAAGACAAAAGAATCCAACATCAAAAAAAGGAAAAAAAAAAAGACAAGAAACAAGAAGAACCCAACAAAAAAGAAAATTTAATTTTGAGAAACATACATACCAGTGACCTCAAGAAGGTGGCCTTGAATACCCGAAACCGACATGGAGCAATAAGAAGAAGAAAAGTAAGGAGAAGATGGATGTTCTTGAGATGAGAATTGGTGCATTTACTCTTAAAAGGGTCTCGCTCTTATAAAAAGAATAAAAAAAAAGTAGTGAGAAAAGAACAGGAAACAACGAGTAAACCGCAGAAACTCGAATTAAATAATCCGCGTATAATTTATTTATTTGATTGAACGGCATTAATGGTGGTGCCGTGGGTTTGTTTATCTTTTCTATGCAGGGGAATTTAATTGAATTTGAGGCCACAGTTCCTTCCTTCTGGTTTCGGTCTCGTTTTTGTTGCAGTTTCTTGGAGGTTGCAATTTCCAAAACAAATACTAATGAACTTAAAGAAAAATTAATTGTTGCAGCGTAAATTCCTCTGTTCTTTTTTTGATAAGATTTGTTAACGCAACTATTATCAAATCGAGCATTCGTTTTTCTTCTTTAAAAAAAATGTAAAAAAAATATATATTACACAAAATTCACGTGAGAAATAGTTAAAACCCTTTTCGTGAGGACAAACAGAAGCGCAATCCACGTGAATAAGGGGGCCCAGAACAAGGTCAAACTCAAGAAAAAAATTTTGACTGATTAGACATATCTGCTGATGCTTCCTGCTTTTGTCACGTCAAACGCTCGAAAAAATAAATAAAATATTTCAATCTCATGTCCATCATAAAAAAATTATTGAAATTAATAGAATATAAAAACGTTGATGATATTTTGATAAATTAATTTTAAAAAAAATAAATAATCATCACGTGATAAATGATATCAAAAAAAATTTTAAATCATTCGATTTTGATTTACATTAAACACTTCGAGAAAGATCGAATGCCACGAAATTGAATGAAAAAAAAATGATATCAAACGCTTCAAAAAAAAAAATTAGTAAGATTTTACATCGAACATGAAAAAATTATTAAGATATAAATTCGTTGACGTTACACATCACATCCTGATGATCCAATTTTGATGAGAAAAACGTAATAACCACGTGACTCTTTGACTGAGTCAAAGATGCTGTCTAGGTGTTGATTGTTCAAGGAGCAACGCTTCCGCGTAAATCTAGACCAAATAAATAGAAAAAAAAAAGGAAGAGACAAAGCACTAGGAAAACTTAAAAAGAAACAAGTAATGAAACAAATTCCATCGACTTTGATTCACTAGTTAATGCAGCGATTATTCTAACAGCCATGGCATCTTTTTTTGATTACAACACCCATATAGAAAGAACCGGACCGTGATGATGATACAAATGAAACGAATAGGATTGAACATCAGTAGCAGCAATGCATATAACTTGCAACCCAATTTATGTACAGAAAGTTTCACATCTGCCCCCAGTTTACTCACTTTCATAGTCTTCATCGTCTCCAAAAGTGAAAACAGATGCATCGGCAGCCATTGCCTTGAATTCACTTTCTGAGCTGGAAACTTGAACACCTGCAGCAGCAGCAGCTTTCCCAGCAGCATCTTTTCTCGGCTCACTAGTGGCATGGATCTGTTGGGAGTTTGCACTTCCTAAAGAAACTTGTTCGGTAGAATGCACCAAACTTGCAACTTCATCTGAATTTGTGTTTGTTTCGGATTTGGAGGTGGCTGAGGAGGCAGCTGCTCCCTCTGCGGATGCTGCCTTATGCTGTCTGCTCTTTGTTGATCCAGATTCTTCAGCCTCAATGTCAGAGAACACATCATCTTTGTCATTATGTCCCGAGTCTTTGTTTTTGTTTGATGGGGCTGCAGCTCCACCAGTGGATCCAGTACTGGTGCCTGAGCTTTCATCTGGCTTATTTGTAGCAGTTTCAGTCTGTCGCTTTGTTGGAACAGTGCCATTATAATCTACTAGCACGACCTCAACCTGGAAACCGGGGGAAGGCAATTTCCTCTGTGCATATTACCCAAAAGAGGTGGAAACATCAGAGAACTCTATTTCAGCCAGGAGAAAGAATTGAAGATACCAAGTCATGTTGACAGATCATAATAACTAGTTTCATGTTTTACCTTGTCAAACCAATCAAGATCACCAGTATTCAGAATTTTTCTGTTTTCTATCATTGTTGTGTTTAACCAACTGATAAATCAAAAGGAAAGAATCACAGAGAGATCAGTTACAATTCATATGTACAAGTCAAGGAACTAATTTTATCAGAAAGGAGGTTTACAGACCAGTAAAAATCTCCTTGGCGATCATGAAAATGAATTTTAAAGTCCCCAGACAACTCAGTCAGACCAGGTTCCCCAGGCAAAGCAAAGACCATAACTCCTTTCTTTGGTGCACTAAACCAAAAATCTTCTGGCTGTGAAGAATAATTACATGCACAATACTTCAAATTGGTACAAGGATGCTCCAGTGCTTCAAATGGCATTTTTTAAAAAAATATAGGTGGCGGCCATAATAATTAGACAAAACAACCAAAGTGACATACCGAAAGATCCTTGGTACGTAGATGCTTTTTTGTGGAGAAGAGAACACCTGTGCACAGACAAAGCATTGAAGATTATGATGTTTATCTAGGCTGAAGATCACGATAGCTTTAGCATGACAATACAATGACTGCAAATCAATTTCACTTGTTTGGAGTGCTAAAAGGAAAATAAGGCATATGAAATTCTAATTGCAATGAAAGGTCAGAGCCTAGAATTACAGCAATTGCTCGTTAAAGCATTCCACCGCAGGCTGCCACATAAGCCAATATAAAAAAGTCTTTTCAAGTGAAGCATTTCACATAATTATATATGTATTCTACCTCTTGGATTAAGTAGCTTAATTCAAATGAAAATGCCTCTGTGCTAGAGTTGTAACAGAGACGACCATAGCATCAAACTGTGGGTTTGCACCTTAAAACATAAGGAAGCAAATAAAGTCAAGGGTGACCTTAGGAGATTGCTCGCTTTGTTGTTAGAAGGAAGATTCAAATAAAAAATAGGAGTTTGAGACTACTGCTATGTATTTTAAACATGCTTAGCCAGTATTATACCATAAAACAACACCAGTACACAATAAATATAATTTTGAGATTCTTAAGAGTGCCTGCGGCCAAGAAAGTTTGACGAAAAATCTCATCTTAACATCCTGAGGAATTCTTCTGTGTATCAAATGTATATTATCCACTAATAACACCCAAATGTACTGAGAAGCACAGAAATAAAGAACAATAAGGAAGAACAAATCAATGAAATCAAAGAAACCTACTTGCAGACCAAAAAAAGTGTTGTACCATTATGATCAGAGACAGTAATGGAGGGCCTGATCCAATAAGGGCAACGATGAAGCCGAAATCCTCTAAGCATGCACCTGTATAAAATGTAGTGTCAGCACTAATACAAAGATCAAAGATGCAATATAAACATTGCATAGCCAAGAGAATACCTGCGCCCAGGCAGATTTTCACCATTGAAGTATGTTAAGGTGCGTTCAAAGTATTTGACATATCTCTACAGAACATAACAAGACAACACATGGCAATCAGATAAGATATAAACAGCTTGCTGAACACAGAACGAATCCAGAAATTACAGCTCCTCAAAGAATATCACTAGAAATCAATTGCTCACAATTTGACTTGGCAGAACAAGCCCTTTTCCGTCCACACATCTTTTCTGGTTGTAGTAGTCAATTGACTCTTCAGCAGTAGGGAAGAACTGCAAAGGCATAATAATTTATAAAAACAGTATCAATCATTGTGACCAAGAAAAATGTAGCTACATTAAATTCACTAGCATTTCTTCAAGAACATGTTCATTGGGTCAAACCTTCAAGTATAGAAGAAGACTAGAGATCATCAACCCTGTCCTTGCCATCCCAGCTTTACAGTGCACAACCACAACATTCTCAATATCTTCCTTCAGCCATGAGTAAGCACTTTGACAAAAAGATATTATCAATTGGATTGGGGGGCAATTATGGTCATTGAATGGGAAACTAGCCACCTGAAGAAAAAGTTTAATATCAATTATAAGATGGTACAACTTTATGTCACATTGGTCATCCTGCAGTTAGTTTTAGTTAATTTAATTTTATCAACAGGCTGTATCTGCTGTTATGCATGCATGAGTGGAGAACAAAAGGTAGCTAAACAATATCAAATGGGAATGGGTGGAATTATCCCCTGCCAATGATTTTCATCATTGAGTAAAATAGACTCTGTCCCAACCTCTCCATATGGATTACATTAGCAAATAGTTAAAAAGAAATTAGGGGCTAATTTCTTCAGCTCCACGGTCCAACCAAATGGAAAGTCTTAATCTCTTTTCAGATGCTAACATAGAACAATATGGTTATTTAGTTAAGAGATCTCTGAGATGATAAAAAGGTTTCTTGTTATCAAAGCTAAACAATAGGCACATGGCACAGAGACACCAGCTAACCATAAATTAAGAAATAAGCTCAAGTGAGATATATGAAGTAAACTTATTAGCAAGTTAGTTCCCTTGACAAATCATAGCATACCTTTCCTTCAAATAATGAAGCATCATACAGTCTCTCAGAGCAAAGGTTATATACTTTGTACTTGTCCTGCATATAGAAAGTCAACAGATTATAGGACCAAACAGTACAATGCATAGCAATATGCAGGGATGAAACATACACATATACATATGAATTAGTTACAAAATGATCCCTTCAAGCCCAAACATTCTTTTGAGTAATACAACCAAATATTCAGGCACAGTGACTTTAACTGCTCCAGCAACCTCAACCAACAAGGTTCATATTGAAAGAGAGGTGGATGTAATAGGAAAAAGGTACAGGCCAGAAAGTTGATCTTATCATCATTGCAAACTGTCCAGTAAGATGTTTAATATATCATAAATACAGACCAACCCAACAAAAACTAGACCAAGTTTTTATTTTCATTCAACTTATGAGGTCAGCACAAGGTTCTTGCAGGCTGTGAGGAAATAGATGGTAAAATCCCGACAATGAAATGGTTTCACAAAAATCATACGACAAAAATTGATGTAAAAAATTATTAAATAAAAACACACAGATCAATGCGGAGAAAACCAAAGAAGAAAACAAATGATGCAGGGAGTGGCAAATTATATATCAACAAACATGTCATTACCTTGTGATGGGTTTCAAAAAACTTAATCACTTCTTCCATGTGATTTCGATAGAACCCCTGTCTCACAATCATAGAAAATTAGGATAATTATAAGACGATAGAGAAATTCAACTATGGATTAGTTTAGCTACCTCAACATATCCAAAAAACCCAGAGCTCATGTCACCAGCAGGGAACCCCATAGCAATTATGTTCTCAGTGATGTATGTCATATCTAAGTCAAATCCTCCTTCCTGCAGTCAAGGTGCACAAGTAAGTTTACAACTATTGAGATTCAAATCCTTGTAAAAAAACAACAATTACAAGATATATCACATATCAAATTCTTCTTTTTAGAACAAAAAGGGGGTTGGAGACACATCTCTATACTGAAGAAAATAGTATAATCCCACCTGGTATCTCCGTTTGTTCTGTGAAACAACATGCCGAGCCTTGACCTGTACGGCTTTCACAGCATTTTTAGATGAGTCGACTATGCCTTTTGTAATTGATCCAAAAAAACCAGGTTGTGCTGTTGGTGAAGTTCCATCAGAACTATCATTAGCTGGGGGAGATTTTGGGGACGAGTGCAGTCCTAGCCCACTGGTAAACCGTGCAAAAGATGACTTTCCAGCATTTCCTGTTGGTGAGTCCTCTTGCGGGGCAGTAAATGGCTGAGGAATTTTTAAAGTTTTAGCCCATGATGACAGCTTTGATGGTGCATTATGTGTAGGATTATTTGGTCCTGAAACTGTAGCTGCAGGAGGTTGTACATCAGAAGCTTTAGCAGGAGGTGAACTTGACAAGTCAGCAGGTCCATTATCCATTCCGCTGCTCAGAGGTCTCAATAATAATAGAAGGTCAAGAGTTCAAAGACCCAGCTAATGAGACACCACCTTTTTATCCTCAAAATTACAACTGCAAGCATAAAGTATAATTTCAGCCAATAAATAATAAATGCCATAAGAAAAATGGACTTGTTCTTCTTTCTGCCCTAAGCAAACAAAAATCATGAATTGCTAAATACCATAATGATTTGACCTAAAGCCCAAAAGCAGGTATATAATGAGAACGAAAAGTATGGCATATAGTAAAATAGCCATGCGATTATACTAGTTTTCACAAGTCCACATTCCGCCTTGCAATTCATGGCATGTCTATCACTTATTCTCTTGAGAAACAAAGAAGGCGCCAAAAAACATAACTGCATTAACCCAAGGTATAGCGTGAGTCACTCGTGGCATTTTTAATTCATGCATTCATTTCCAAAAGAAATTTCAACTGGCGAATACCAACAAGAAACAAAAGGTAGTGAGTTACAGCATGTCAGGCAAGCCAATGTTCACACATCATCAGAGAAAATTATTACATCCCACAACCAAATTAACCAACTTAAAAGGAGAACTAATTTATGTAAAGTGTTAATTCGAATGGTCTAAATCAGTAAAACTGATTTGGAAATTAGAAAATAATGTAAAACAGCAACTACTATTACAATTTCAAGTGTGGGACTAACAAATTATCTGTTCAGCGCTCCGATTACTTGCTAATCAACAATTATTAGTCACTGATTTTTCACTCTAAAGATTAAAAGACTACATTCAATTGGTATCTACATGTACATTTAAGTCTTCAGCATCTAATCAAAATCAAATCCCAATTTTAGCTTCCAACTAACAAAATTATCAGAAACCAATCAAAAGACATAAAGATAAGAGTACAAATCCAACTTAAAAAAACCCAACCAGTTTAAAACTTAAAGATAAAATGAAATGAAACCATTGATCGCCTTCAAAAGATTTGATTAAAGAGATTAAGGTCTAAGGCGATGATCATACCTTAATCGAAACTGCGGAATTGAAGATATAACACAGCAATGGGGAAGAAAAACCTAGGGTTTCGACTTTGAAGATTTAACACGGCAATGGACAGAGAAAGAGAGATTGAGACTGGCGTTTCGTAATTTGAAGGTATTGGTGTTTGGTGTTTGGTTTTTGCGTCAGTTCACGTACTTTGGGTGGTCAACGCATGTGGACCGCTGATCTGGCAGAAACTTTTTGTAAGATCGAAATTGGACGGTAAGTCCGATGAGATATGATCAGTCCGCTTGATCTAAATCTTTTCAAAAAAAAAAAAAATCTCGTTTAGATTTTTTTATGGCCCCACACTTCCTTCAATTAATATCTAAAGAGGTGAAATAAATCAAATATATTAATAACACTAGCATTACTTTTTTTTTTTTGGGCCTTTCGGTTTTGTTTCTTGTAATTATTTTTTGTTTTTTTTTTAATCTACCTTCAATACTCTTTCTTTATATATTTTACAAATATTTCTAATTAAACTTTTTAAAAATTATAAAAAAAAAATCATTGGATCAAATATATAATTTTAAAAATAAAGATTAAAATCTGACTCCTTTAAACACAAAAATATATGTACTTATCATTTGAATCAAACATTTTTGTATGTTTAATCCTAGAATTTTGTTAGATGGACTCCAACATTTATCTCTATCATTACAAGTATCATACTTTAAAATTTTGATAATTTTAAATATATAAAAATAAAGTGTAGATTTGATAATATAAAATGATCAAATATAAATTTAAAATTGGTATAAATTCAATTTGTTTTCCATTTTACAAATAATAAATTAGTTCATTTTTTACTAGTCTATTGTTTAGTACGAGTATTTTAACGAAAATAAGGCAAGTTTTGTTAATGCTGATGATATTAAAGCGCAAACATGGATAAAAAATTTTTGAGTCGAAATTTAATTTAATTAATTTATATAATTATTTTTAAAAAATAAAAAATAATAAATTTAATATTTAAATTTTAAAATTACTTCAATTACGACCTTCGTTGTAAAAAAATGTTAAGAAGGCTTTTATCACCAAAAACTCCTAATATTTTCAGAAGTATCAAGAACAGTAACGGTAATCTGGAAAATTAACCACGGATGAATGAGAATGGCAGGAAAAAAAATACAGAATTGGTGAAAGGTAATCACTGGAAATCTTCTGTATCTTTAGTGCAAGGACCACACATTTGAAGGCACTGTAAGATTAAATATGCTGATTTTATAAACAAGGGAGTGCACCGAGGCAGCTGAATATAAACAAACAAAATTTTCTTATTTTCTTGTAAGTTGCAACCTCCCTCCCTGATGACTTGGGTCATTAAGAAGGAAAAGCTTTCCCCCGATTGCAATCTTTGTTGGCTTCTCCTCCTCGACCCGGCAGGAATCTATTGCTTCTCAAGCATTGCTAATGTTTGTCTTGGTTCGGCGCCGGGTACTTGTAGCTGGACCTCGCCTCAATAGTTTTACGCCTAGTGGGTTGTCCTTGCTCTGCATCATTAACAACGTTGGTAAACAACAGGAGGAATTAAATCTAGGCTTTAACATAGTAATGAAAGTGGCGAAATTCCAATGCAGATAATAATTACCAATCGGCAAGTTCCAGCTGCAAGGTCACATATAGGATACTCCTGAGGGCAGCAGCTGTAGTGATCATCACAGCAGGTTGCAGACTCCAGTGGGCAGCATCCCCAGCCGAAGCAGTATTTACCAAACTCATATAAGCAGCAGCAAGTGCTTCCTTCAGGGCATGAGTAGTGATCATCACAAACGGTTGGGGGCTTCACTGGAGAAGGGGGGGAGGGGGCAGGTTTAGGGGGGTTCTGTCCTTTCTTTATGGGGTACGAGGCCATCATTGCAATACCGCACTTGCCAGTGGAGGTGCCAGCAACATTGCGCTCCATCCTGATGTATCCATTCTCTCCCCAGTTAGGACCCCATGAATTCCTCACTATCCAGTAATCTACACCATCTTCCGTGCCATATCCAACAGCAACAACACCGTGGTCTAGGCTTGTTCCACAGAGACCAGTAAATACACCCTGAATACAAAATGCTAAGTTATATGCTTGAAAATTTAGTCACTGCAAAGAAAATCTGTTTCTCCTAGATATAATCAAGAAAATAGTATGATATTTCTCATTCATGGCAAGGAAACCGGAAAATTAATGCTTGAAGATTCAACTATGTACCGATTGGTAGAGCTGGAAGGCCCTCCCACCAGCTTCAATGGCAACACTAACTGGTTGATTTGCCACAGCCTTCTTCAGAGAATTCTCATCGTTTTCAGGGATATCTTCGTATCCATCTATGGAAACAACACGTGCATTTTTCTACAAGGAGAAGAAAAATAGAAGATATTAACAAATCTGAATGGAGGACACTTGACACCAGCATAAAAGAAAAAGATCCGAATTCCCACTAACCCTGTTTGGATCACATGTATTATCAGAAGCACGGTATGGGTAATCCTGTTCAGTGTCAATGCCACCATTATTAATAATAAATTCAAAGGCATTGTCCATCAGACCTCCATTGCATCCCTGGTTATACAGCCCATCACAGTCTACCAGCTCCTGCTCCGACAAGGAGATGAGTTCACCAGTGACAATCTGGTTTATCCCTTCCACTGCAGCAACAGTTGAGAATGCCCAGCAACTCCCTTTATTCAAAATCAAATTAATCGTTCAATGAGTTGTTACAGAGGAAAATAATTGTACATCCCCTGCATGCCCTCATAGTATAATATTATGAACGATTAAAAGCCTTGATTTGTCTAGTTAATCGGGCCTGTCAAAATTGATATCTACAATTTATATGCCCTGATTATTGTATTGATCCACAAATTCTTTCCAAGATTACCATTTTCCAGGCTAAATCAATTTCTGGCACATCTAATCGATTGAAAACACAATAACCAATAAACCATAAGTAATGCCTAATCCAGGACTTCTTTAGAATTCTCTTCCAACCAGATGAATCCAAACAAAAATATAAAACCAGATACAAGACAGAACCAACTCCCCTATATTTTCTAGTTAAGATAAATCCTAAGAAAACAAACAATTTCTCAGAAACAGACACACATCAAACGTCAAAATCATATCTTCCCTAGTCAAACTTTTACCAACAATTTTGAAAAAGAAAAAAATTGCCCATAATCCAAAAACAACAAAAACGTCAGAAAAAAGAGAAGAAAAAACTTTACCACATTGACCCTGATCCTTGACAGCCACGACAGCACCCTTCTCCCTCCAATCCACAAAGTTAGGCAGCTTATCACCAACCCTAAACACATACATGCCTCTCTTCTCCTTCCCTGCAAGCCTATGTGACTGACTTTTCACATCCACCCTGACACCCAAATACATGGCCTTGTATTCTTCATTGGTCAAATCCGCAAACCTGTTAAGACCAACCTTGTACGTGCGGTTAGCCGAGTTATGTTCCTCAATAAACTTCAGATTATCCTTAAAGATCTCAAAACGTTTTTCCTTCTCTCCCAAGGCATTGTAAACCTTGCCATGTTTCACCAGCCAAGTCTCGTACATTCTCCTAATCTGGGTCTCATTTCCTTTCTGCTGTTGTCCTCCATGCTTGAGATCATAGTCAATGATGGACATATCCAACGCTGATGACAGAGTCATGAACAAGAAGAAAAACACGAACAAGGAAAAACAGGAAGGTTTCTTGAAAAGAGCCATGGTTTTTGTGGTAAACGGAGATGAAAAGGTAGTAAGAGATGATGGGTCAATTTGTTGGCATTTATAGAAGAATTGAAAAGGAAAGAGAATGAAACTGCGTTGAAATTGGAGTTGGAGTTTGTATCTGCCAGGATTTGGTAACGGGACAAAGGTGACCTCAGAGAAGTGCGTGGTTTAAAAAAAGTTTGTTTTGACCGGAACTCGGATTTATAGGATGAATTTTAGGCATTGAGTTGGATTCTCTATCTTGACGAATAGGAATTGGCAACGTCAACTCCCATTTATTATTTGCTATTTTTTAAATGCCTCATTTACGCTAAATCTTCTATTCTTGTGTATTTAATCCAACATTGCTTGTTTAAATGTCTCAAAATTCGTAACCTCTAAAAATCTATTTAGCATACAGCTATTAGATAAGCATAGAGGATAAGCGATGGGATGGTAGGGTTTAAATTTTTATTTTACATGTTATTTTAAATTTTTTTAATCACTAAAATTAATAAAGTTGGGGAGAACATATATGTTATTTAAAGTTAATTTGCTGTTCTTTGTTAAACTATAATTCTTTGAATAATTTTGTTTTAGAAGTATAAATATATTTAGAATTAGTGAATTACAATAGGAGGTGGATAAAGAATAAATTTCAAATTTGCAACAAATTGGAGGTTTCCCATGGTAAATCACATGGTAGTTTGAATTATTTTTTTAACATTTTTTTTGTATACTTTTTTTAAAACTTTGTATATTCCCTTCATCTCATTTTTTTAGGATATTTTAAAATTATATTTTTTTAACATTTAAAACTCTTATTTTATAACATTAAAATTTATGAAATTTTAATTTTATAAAAAATAAAATTTAATATTAAATACATTAAAATTAAAATTTTTTAAATTTCATGAAAGATAACGATAATTAAATAATTTGAGACGAAGAGTACTATTTTTGAAGATACTAATTTAATATTATCATCAAGCTTTAAAACCATTGTTTTTTAATAATGATATCATTTGTTTAAATCCAATTGTTTCAATAATTTTATTCTTTAATACAAAAATTGAGTTACGTGCTTGAATTTACAAATCAAGATTTTAATAGTTATTAATAATTAATTAATTCAATCGATTAGATTCGTCTTTTTCGATAAATAATTTTTAGATTTGAATATTGTTAGTAATCACTAATTGAAGTCATATCGAATACACGATTTACAGTAATTTATTTTAAATTATCAGGTATAACATATCTTGTCTTGATTTAAAATATTGAATAATTTATCTACTTTCAATTTTTTTTTATCAAAAAAAATTTTAATAGTTATTATTTTTAAAATTATGTGTTTGAATTTATTAAAGATATAAATATTTAAAATTGCCAATCAAGACATTAGAACTGATGGTTCCATGAAAAACCAGGTTTGGAATCCTAAGCTTGTCAGCAGCATTTGTATCGTGCGGAAAAGTTGAATCTCCTGGTCTGCCACCACCAGGCATTGAGGGTGGCATTGTTCAAGGAGCTGCTCAAGCAGTTTCTATTGAAGGGGTAATGGCCTCGTTGAATTTGTTAATAGATTTAATAATTTAAAATATAACATGATTATCCTGAATATAATAAAATATAATATAAAAATTGTAAAAATAATATAATTTAAAATAATAATTATTATTATATATGAATTTAATAAAATAAAAAATAATTTTATATTTATATATATAATTTTTATATAAAATATAATATAAATATATAAATATAATATTTAATACAATATAAATATCCGAAGAAGCATTTTCACCGGTGAAGTGATGGAAATTAGACGGTCAAAAATCTCTCCGGCGAGCCTGCCTCTGCCACAGAGAATTTTATTGTGCGGGTACTCATTTCAACACCGAATAAAGGATCGTGTGTCCATGGGCCAGGAAAGGAAAGAAAAAGGACATGAAGCGTTCTTCTTTTTGGTGCCACTTAGCCTTAATTGGATCCAGTTTAGTATTATGCAAGAGGAGCCGAGTTGTAACCTTTGTGTTATATCCTAATGTCCATTTCATCTTTGCTCCCTGGATTCAGAACGAGCACCCCCAGTCTTCCTTGAGAAAAAGGTATATCCAACATCTGGATTCAGAATGATCATAGGCCCAATTGGCCTCCAGTAGATTTGAGACATGGTCCTTGTCACTGATGAGAACTGGGTTTCTGAGTTGTAAACGTCTTATCATTGTAAATATATACAACGATTCATGTATTTATTTTAATAAAATATTAAAATTTATGTATTTATATTTTACATAAAAATTTTATTATAATTCATATCGACATAAAAATATAAAATATAATTTTTTTATTAAATTTATATATAATAATTATTATAATTTTAAATTATATTATTTATGTATCTTATTTTTATATTTATATTATGCTATCAAATCATATTTTAAATTATTAAATCTAATTATAAAACTGTGAAGAAACCTCCAGTTGGCAACTGAGCTCCAAGGTCCTTTAAGCGGGATGTTATGTCATATAAAATATGGGCGTGGCTGAGCATGTCATCATCTGTCTATATGCTATTGCTTATTAGACAATGGCCACTAATTTAACCCAAATTTATCAAAATCCAACTGCGTTTTTTTCTCCAAGTTTTGAAGTGAACTAAGCAATTTACATACATTATTCTCTTCTCACCCACTCACTTTCGACTGTATTAGCTGCTTGAAATAAACATCTATATCATATGATATAGCATGTGATATAGCAGAAATGTTGCAGGCAGGCAGAATTTACTGGTTCATATATAGGATATCTAATGCCAACTAGCAACCCCAACAGTGGTTGGCCAAAACGGGTAAGGGCGTGCTTTTGATTGAGTGGTGTGGCGAAAAATTAATATCATTCCTTGGCTCATTGCTTGCAGTTTAGTTGTTTCTCATAAATTAACGTTTCTTCTGGTTTTCTTATTTGACTTCTTGTGATCATTTCTTAATGCTAGCTGTTAAACACCGTCATCGACCACCAAGCCTTAGTAGTTAACTAGTTATAATCAAAGACTGAAACTCAATTATGGGACGTCATCTCATATTTTTTTTGGTTAGTTAATTCAAACTAACTTTTTTTTAGTACTCAAGTCGAAAATATATGCAATTACCACTAAATTAAACCTAAGGTTTTTAAATTCAAAACTTATTTGAATTAATTTATATAACCATCTTTAATGACAATTATTTAAATTCTAACACAAACATGATTTCTTTATACAAAAATAAATTAAAATGTAGGTTTTCAAGTGTGAAAAAATATTTTAATAGAACGTAGACCCAGCGTGCCTCTAGAAGATATAAGACAAGGTCCATGTAATAATGAAAGCTGGTTTTTAGAGTACAAGCATGTGAACATTGTGAACAAATGTTCAGCTGGTATGGACTTAAGGTCCTTTGAGCAGATTAAATATTATGCGTTCAAACATGGGCGTTATCAGTCATCACCAATTCAGTGTTTATCAGAGTTCAACCGCTAACCCATTGCTTTCACATATTTGTCTATCCAACTGTAAGTGTGGGTGTTTTTCTTTAACTTGTTTTTTACCATTGAAATTGAGTATTCAGTTGGCCAAAAGAAAAAAAGAAATTTTTGAGAATTCACATTCTGTTATTTAAATAATGAGAAACTTGTCATATGACGATTTTACAATTACGGTTTTTCAAATACAATACGCCAGGCATTCCAGCTGCTTCCTTTTTCTTGTTGCTTAAAAAAAACAAAAATCTCTTTCGACTGTATTAGCTGGGTGAAAGAAAATATATAGTTATATCAGAAATGTTGCAGCCAGGTTGAATTTTCTGGTTCACCTGTGGCATATCTAATGCCAACAGGGAACCCCAACAATGGAGGACATTCAGGGAACATCCTCGATCGGCAAAACGAGCGAGGACATGCTTCTGAATGGGGTGGCAAAATATTACTATCATTCTGGTTTTCTCATTAAATCAAACATTTCTTTATGCTACCTTCTAAACCCATTCACGGACCACGAAGCATTTATCAATGATTGAAGCTCAATTTTTATAACTTTAGAATATTTTTAGTTGGCAATAATGAATTCTCTTCTAAGCAATTTGCAAAACTCTGGATGATAATAAAATAACGTTGGGATCTTCTTGTCTTTCATAATAAATAATACCCAAGTTGATATTTTATAAGGGAGATGTAGCTTTCAGTGATATGAAAACTTTGAACTGTAGTTAGGTTAGTAATTAAAAAAGGACAAAGAGTACAGAAGTTAGATAGATTTGTCTTCATCAACGCTTACCCTATTCGTCTCTTTCTTTTTTTTCCCTCAAATATTGTTATTTGATTAGTACTCGTTTACTATTTCCATGAGTCGTAGTTCTAAAATATTTAATAAACAGTGGTAGCATTTATAATTTATGCGTACGTCTTCACAAGATTATTAATGCTTCTGATTCATAATTTTCAAATCGTAAACTTGGTAAATTTTTATAGAAGAAGTCGTATGTTGAGATAAAATTTGAATCGGTTAAAATTTGAATAAATCAACAGAATAATTTTTCAAACGACCAACCAAAAGGTTATAGATCAGCCAAGTTATATAATGCAACTATGCAGGGAATCACTTAACAAGCAGTAGTTGACAGATCATGTGACAGAGATGGGGCAACAGCCCCTAACCAAGACATGCAGGAGTAGTATTATTATTTGCTCGTGAAGCTTGACTTCCCTCAATTATGGTCTACGATCCTTTTCTTATATATATATATATATGCTCCTGGCTCCCTGCCATTTGGGCACTCTGATCTCAAGGATCCTGTGAAGAGAAAAAGAAAGAAAATGCGCACCATCTCTTTCTCTACTTCATTTTTTCTGTTCACCATCATTTTTCATTCATGTTTGCATCACGAGGTGGCTAGTTATGATCCATTGATTGGGACAAACAGGGAAACATTGGAAATAATCATTGGTGGGGGTGGGGAAGCTGCTGCTCCGCCTGAATCCGAATATCCACCCGAACCTCCATGTAAGTTCTGGAGTGCAAGCGGTTGCTTTGAAAACGCGCGACTTGCAAAAGCTTACGACGTGATCCAAAAGTTCAAGGAGAAAATCAAAGTTGATGCTAATAGCATCCAATACATAAAGACATGGGAAGGCAACGACGTTTGCCACTACAAAGGCTTCAAATGTGACACTCGTCCTGACGTTAAGGAAAAAGCAGTTGCTGCAGTTGACTTCAATGGTGCTAAATTTGCTGGGTGTAATGGCTCCCTTCCCCTTGATGGTTTCATTGATGAGTTAGACGATCTAGCCATATTCCATGCCAACTCTAACAACTTCACTGGAACAGTACCATCTGGAGTATCAAAAATTAAATATTTGTATGAGCTTGACCTTAGCAACAACAAGATGGTTGGTAATTTCCCCATGAAAGTTCTTGGTGCCAGTAATCTAACCTTTCTGGACTTAAGGTACAATTCGATTATAGGGGTCCTTCCACCACAAGTGTTCAACTTAACTCTTGACGTGCTCTTCATCAACAACAACAACTTCGGACAAGCTAGGCTTCCTGATAATCTTGGTGACACGCCAGTCCTATATCTCACCTTTGCCAACAACAAGTTCACTGGTCCAATCCCACCAAGCATTGGCAGAGCTCCTAACCTGCTGGAAGTGCTTTTCATCAATAACAAACTTAAAGGGTGCTTGCCATATGAGATTGGGAACCTGAGTCAAGCCACTGTGTTTGATGTAAGCTCCAACGAGTTAACAGGCCCTATACCATACTCGTTTGGGTGCTTGAAAAAGATTCAGATACTCAATTTGGCCAACAACAAGTTCTATGGGGAAGTACCGGAGATAGTCTGCCAGCTCCCTAAGCTCGAAAACTTCTCTTTATCAAACAACTATTTCACTTGGGTTGGCCCCGCTTGCAGGAATTTGATATTGAAAAAGAAACTTGATGTCAGGAATAACTGCATTTGGGATCTGCCGTCCCAAAGGCCAAAAGCTAAGTGTGATGCATTTTTCTCAAAAAATAAGTACTATTGCGAGAGGAAGGAATCATTTATGTGGGTTCCTTGCAAAAAAGATGGTTATTATTCCAATTCCGCTGAGAAATCTAATCAAGAATCGACTGCCCCTGGCCCATCCCCCAGAACTTATAGCACTCTCATTCCTCATCATCGGTTGTGATTGCCATTATGCTGTAGATAACCTCATCAAGAAAATTACGGTGTGTCTTTGGCAGTTTAATTATGTTTATTTCTTTGTGCTGATACTATTTACGCTTGAATTGCAATGTACTGAATTTATAGTGAATAAATCAACTTCCTTATTCAGAAATGAGAAGCCTTGTCTCCTATCTTGCAAGAATTCTTTGTACTACAAAATTAGTAAAGTGGCTAACAAAGATAAGTTAGATCACAGCAATCAATTTCCAACCCTTGTTTCTGTCCCAATCTGCCGCCTCTTTTACTAAAAAAAAAATACAAATTGGTTTTCCTTCACCTTTCTTTAATGTCAATTATCGGTAAAATGTAGTTTTTATCAGTTTAGAAAACTAAAAAAATGTAAATTTGCTAACATCATCCATGTAAATTGCTTGCAAGAAAAGAAGTTTTAAAAAAGTTATTGCTGGTACAATCCAGTTCATAATTGCAGAAAAACCTGCTTGAAAGCTCCAGTTGCTGTCTCATCTGCATACCCTAACAAACCAAAACAATAGTTTTCTCCAACGTTTGGGATAATCGATTTTTAAAAAAGGAGTGTCCAAGGTTTTTCTTTCAATCTTTTGCTTTCCAGCCTTCACTTTTGGATTAATGATTTACACAAGAACAAAATAGTCCTATTCTGAATTTCATTTTCATACACCTTAATTCCAACTTTGCAATGAAAAATAAAGATAATAATAAGTTCTATCAAGTATCCAAATTTTTTAGAAAATTTGATCCGACAATAAATCACAAAACATGGACTTAAAATCAATCAAATTTTCTTTAATCATTCGTGTCAATCCAACCAACTAAACTTAATTAATTGTTTGATTTTATTTATTAGTCTTGGTTGTTGGCCTTTATTAATTAATTCAAGAATTTTTTTACTTGCTGCGATGGGTCAGTGAGGACTAGGAATCAAGACAAGACAAGAAATATAAACAGAAAAAAAAGAAATTTATACTATTGGAAGAAATCAGAAAGCTATAATTAGTCAAAAAGTGGGATTGAAGAAATATTGGAAGGTTGAGAAACATGGATTGGATGTACTATCATCGCCCATAAGCAATCGTTTTACTGCTGGGCTTGGAGTGCAAGCTGCACGCCTAGGCCTGAGATGGCGTAATGGCAAAAGCCTACGGAAGAATTTAAAACCCAACAATTCATCACAAAGATCTGCAATATATAAACAAAAAACCAGGATCCGATTGATGTTCTCTTCCAAGGTTTATAAGTAAAAGTTATCATTCTACCAGATTCCCCAATTCCTTTCCTTTTCTATATGAAACTTGGAACGTGTGCAATGCAAAGAAATCTTCACATATTAAAGTGTATCACATGTAAGCATAACATCAAGTTTTGTTTTTTAGCTGGGAATATTATTGATTGGACTTTTCTTTGTTATACTTTTTAATTTTTTTCTTGTTTTTATATAGGAAGATAATTATCACCCACCTTACCTAATGATCTAAAATTTTAAATCCAACCATATGACATGACCCATTGAGCACCACTGGATTCTTTAAAAAAAAAAATTATTGATGAAAATTTTAAATTTTATGAAATAATAATTCATAACAAATATTCATTCTCATATCCCATAGTATTAAATCTTCTCAAATTTTTAATCAGTATATCTAAAATTATGCTTAAACATATTGATAAATATTTTTATTCATGTATAGCTCTTTCTCAAAAATTATCTTTTTTTTAAGGTAAAATAATTTTTTAAAAAATTACTTTATTTTCTATTGATTAATAAATTATTTTTTGTTAATCAATTAATTTTCTATCAAATTAACACTTAAAAATGCAAAAATTATTTTTTGGAGTTCATTTTCTACTAAACAAATGAAGTCTAAGAATTCATATTTAATAATCTAAAATATAACAAATAATTTAACACAAATATGATACAAAAAATATACGAAATTAATAAAATTTAAAATTTTAATAATTATTATATATATTTATATTTTTATATTAAAATAAATTATAACATATAATTTTTATATAAAATATGATATAAATATATAAATTTTAATATTTTACTTGAAATAAATTCATGGTTCAGCAGGTCAAACTTAGCTGCAGTTGCTCAAAAACTTGTGAGACAAACCATGGATTTGACATGATTTCCAAAGTTTCATTCTACTTGTATTAATTGATGAACTCCATAATTCCAAATCTACCAAACTCCCAGCCCTAGCAACCCTATTTTGATAGATAATTTTGTTGTGTACCAAAAAGACATAGTAACCCCATCAAATCAAAAAAATATATATGTACAACAGCATTTTTTTTTTGTTAAATAAATAAATATTCATTGCACTTTGTAGCTCAGTTCACTCAAATCTCAATGTCCCGTGCTGCCAAATCTTATTATACCAATGGCATAACCAAATGTAGATGCCTTGGAGAATCAATTAGCTTTTCACAATTATTGTTCTTAATCCATCATTTTCATTTATTAAAATATTAACCTCTGTTTTGTTTGGAAAGAATTTAAATCAATTTTTTTATGCGATAACTCTTAATAAATAATATTTAATAAAATTAAAACTTAAGACATTAATTAAGTTCGAAGGATTTCAATTATATATATAATTCTTATTAAATTTTTTTTTAAGATCTCTTAACATTTGATAATCATTTTCTTAAAATCTTTAAATATTAAAACTTTATATATTTAAATTAATTTAAATATATTAAAAATTTTAAATATTAAAATTTTGTATAGTTGTCTAAAAATCAACAAAATTAATAATATATTGATAAAATTCATTATAATTAAAATGTAATAACAAAAATTCAATATTAATTTACAGTATAATGCAGATTAAAATCAAAATTACTAGTAATTAACATCATTTTAGGTTTCAAATTATAAAGTTGGATGATCTTAACTTGTAACCGTGAACTTAAATTATAAGAGAAAATAAATTTGGAGATAAGTATTTTGATTTAGAAGTTGTTTTTTCCTTTTTTTCTCATAAAAAAAATAGAAATAAAAAAGCAAGATTTTTTAATTTTTATTTATATGCGTGGTAACTTTCAACTGACGTAAGTGACACAGTTTTTGTGTTATGGCCACACCGACACCTCTGTTTCAGTCTTCTGTCGTAAGTCACAATGTACGCTTTTGTTCACGTGAATCAAGTGACCATCCGGATAAAAAGCCGTACCTTAGATACTGTTGTTATTCAAAATCCCCGCGAAGATTCTTTTGCGCACGCGCCTCTAAGCCAATTATATTCAGAGTTGACAATCACAGTGCTTCGTGACGCGTAGCAATCCGACTCCACTATTCCCAGATTCGAATTCTGTCTCTCACCCTCCCTCCTTGACTCCCAATCCGCCACCGACGCCTACCAATACCTCAATCAGTTTCTTTTTAAATTGTTTTTTTCTTTAATTCTTGCTCCTTTAACGTTTGGTTGCCAGGAAAATCTCAGGGAAACTGAAGGCAGTTTCAATTTGCAAGGGATTTCTAATTTTTTAGTAAAATATTCAGTTTGTGTTTTTGTCTAGTTTATCGTTTAAGAAACATTAGCAAAGATTATTCGGAGGTTTTAAAAGATATTTCACATATCATTTTCTACACTTTCCCACCTTTTTTCTAAGCAACCAAACGGAACAAGAACTTCGAAGGCAAAAATTTCAAATTTAAAGCCTATTTTTTCGTTTCCAACCTTTTCTCAGCCACCAAACAAAACTAATTGACCATAAACATTCACAATTTGCAAAATTTGATTATAGTGTTTCTGGATACACTTCCAAATTCCAATGGTTTAAACTTTTAAAACCTATACAAATATTAACACTCCGTACTGAAAACAAGAAAAAAAAAAGTTGTAAGTGATACAAAGAGACAAACCCCATCCAAATCACTCAATCATCATCTTCTCCAGATGATAAAGAAACAGACAAAGGCGACGATGATGTTGAATTCTTACAAAACCCAGACTTCTTACCATCACTCGCTTCTTCTTTTTCCACTAAAAAATGTCCTAAAGAATCCACAGTTTCCACCAAGTTTTCTTCACACAAAAACTCGTCGCTAAAAATACTTTCCACGTCCCTCTCAAAATCATGCACAAAAACATGCGTTTTCCTACCTCTCTTCTTGCTCCTTGCCAACACACCCGCCGTAAATATCGGAGCCATCCTCCCTGGAGCATCTGGGAAGTAACCACGTGGACCATCAATTAAGATTACATCCCAACTTAAATCGTAGATATGGTTGGGCATGTCGTTGATAGCGAGTTTACAATCAGAAAAGAGTAGGTTTTGGACTGGTTTGCACTCGTTTTCGATGTTGGATTTGGCTAGGGATAATAAATCTGACATTTGGTTTACTTTGGTGGTGTATTGGATGTCGTATGCTTCAATTTCGGGGTGGTTGCGCTCAAATGATGAGACTAAGTACTCGCTTTCGTCGAGGAAAACGGTGTGGCCGTGAATGTTGAGGGAGTGCCACAAGAGGGACTCGTGGGTTAGACCAAAGACAAGGAAAAGACAAGGCGAGGAGGGGCAGTTGTGGAGAGCAGAAGCAACGACGGAGAGTTCGGAGGACGACATGTGGTGGGTTGTGGTGTTGATGGTTGCAGTGGAAGCATAATGGAGGAGGGCGATGGTGACGGAGGAAGGTAGGGAGGAAGAGGCGGCAGAAGAGGGTGAAGGGGTTGGGGAGTTGGTGGAGGTGGTCGTGAAGAGAGTTAAAGTTAAAGCTAAAGTGAAGAAAGTTATGAAGAAGAAGAGGAAGAAGCGGTGAGAGGAAGTGGAGGACTTGTGGATTGAAGGGTGAAGGAGAATTAGCTTTGTATTAGGGTTGTTCTTCATTTCTCTTGAGAGAGTATGATAGAGTTCGGCGTTTTGTTTAATTTTGGAAGTTAAGAAGGGAAAGGAGAGAGGGAGGAAGAATGACAGAGGAAATTGAGATCAAACACGAATCTCTATGAAATTTGAAAGGGAGCGACCGGAGGAAAAGGGAATAGAGGAGGTGGGATTTTTTTTTGGGCAGAGATGGTGGAGCCGCGGTGCGAACAAAGGGATCGGTTAAAGTGTTCATGTTAGAAACGTTTTTAAATAATATTAAAATTTTTAATTTTATAATTTAATTATATATTTATTAATTAATATGATAAACTTTAAATATTAACATGCGGTGAATCAAGAATTTTTATCATATTAACGAATAAATTTATAATTTAAATATAACAATTAAAAATTTTCAAAATTTAAATATTATAAAAATATTATAAATTTATTTATAATTCATAAATCATTCAACATTACCTTGATACAATGCATCCGAGGAGAGAGTAAAGGCCGAGGAGCATGACAAATGGACATGGTAATTGATGGAAAACATTTGGTTATGCTTTTAGCAAGAAATTAAAAGTATGGCTAAGTTGGAGCTTTTACTACACAGATATTTCCTGCTATTTCTTTGAGCTAATCTAAGCAAGATTACTCTTTGTTTTCACTTTTGAAATCGATGCACTAGCTGTTTTTGCATTATTATCAAAAAATGAGATTGGCGACCTGGGTTTAACCAAATCGAGCTTATAATATTCTATTAAACCATCAGTGGCCATAAATAACATTAACGAGCCGGAAATACTCTTTTTTTTTTTTTTTCTCTTCGTTCGATAAGAAAATTTTTTTAAAGTAGATAATTTTTTTTAATTTTTTAAATTAAAATAAAATATACCATATCTGATAATTTAAAATAAGTGATTATAAATTATATATTTAAAATAATTTCAATAAATGATCATCGATAAAATTTGAATATAAAATTTTTTCATCGATAAAAACGAATCTTAACCAATCACTTGTTAGTAAGGTATTATTGCACATTTGGGTCTTATAATAGAGCAACTTTTTTTTTTTTTTGGCTAATCTATGGTGTAACTGACATCTAGTAATTAATATATTACCTAATATAAACTTGTGCTATCAAAGTAATTTTATTCTTCAAATTAGAAAGTGAAATGAAAGAGTGATAACGGGTAAAGTGCACCAAAAATCAATAAAATTTTGTATTTCATTCCATTTTAATTACTCTCTAGCTTAGAATTGTTTGTTTTTTAGATTTTAAATTTTTTAAGTTAGTTTTATAACGTTACGTCCACGTTATAAATGTGACACATATTGCGTGAATATTGTCTTGGCATCTTATGTGAAGATTTTTTTTTTCAATTATTAATAAAATAATGTAATAAAATGATTAAAATAGAACCACTTTAAATGATTAATAATTCAAATAGAACAACTTAGAAATCGATGATTAAAGTGAAACCAAAAATAATAGCTTAGGGATTTCATCATTATGTAGAATTTTTTCAAAAGCTATTTAAATTGTCAATACCATATATATATTATATATAGACACGAAAAGAAAATTAATTACATTTAGGAGACCTCATGATTTATTTAAAAAATTTTAATTGGTTTTTATTTTTAACAACAAATGCTTTATAATTTCGCTGCTATGTTCTGTTTGTTTTTATCTTTATTATTTGTTATTTATGCTTTTATTTCTGACCGTTGCTCAAAAAAATTCAAGCAATAAATTTGTAATGCACCGTAGATAAAAATTATTATTTTTTGTCAATTAAAATTCGAGTATTTTGAAACTAAATTCATGAATAAGTAAAGATGTCATTCTTAGGGTTGGTAATCTAACTCGAAACCGACGGATTTTTACTTAATCTGATCTTATAAGATTTATTTTTTTTATAAAAAAAATTAAATTTTGGATCAGGTCGAATATTATTAAGAAAAATCGGATCGGGTCAAGTCAGGTTTGGATTTTAGACAAATTCGATCCGATATTATATGAAAAATTATTTTTAATTATTTTTTAATTATATATATTTATATTTTAAAATAATATTTTATTAATTTTGGATCAGATAAGATTAGATACGGTTTATACAATGTCAAATTCAGGTTGGATTTGAATATAAAAAAAAATAAAAATTTTTTTGAATAAAATACAAATATAAATTTTATGATTATAAAATTAAATTAAAATTGAGACAAACAAACTCGTTTCGACCCAACTTGTTACCAACCTAATTATTCTGAAGTTGTAGATATCTGACATCCTTTGATTTAAAGCAACTTTAATCTTGATTAAAGAAAAAAAGCCACTTTCCTCTTTTCTTTTTTTTTTTTATGGAAAAAAAATTATAAGTGAATTTGAATATATTTTGTGGACCTTACCTTTTGCAATACCCCATGTTACTTTGGATTCGACAAGGATACGGTGGTTTGAAAACATCATAATCAAAATTGTTAAGAGAAGACGTTAAGTTGCTACAACTCAATTAAGCATTAGCAAACCCATGCATCAATGATAACAAAACATGGTGTTCGACAATAAGTTTTGTCTTAATTGAGGAAAAAGTTGGGAGTTAATGGTTGGCAACGCTAGCTTTTGTAAAAGTTGTTAGCACCTCACCATACACCTTTTCAAAATTTCAGTTCAACTTATATATATATATTTATTTATATATAAACTTATATAAAGTTTTGAAGGTAAAAGTTATGAAATTAAAAAAATAATTTAATAAAAAATTAAAATTGATAGATTGATAAAGTTTAATATGAAAATTAATAATATGTAAAAAAAATTTATTAAAAATATTATTTACAATTTAAATTTGATCAAATTTATTAAACAATAAAAATTTTATCAATATTTTTACTAAAAATCTATCTTAAAAATATATAAAAATTTATTAATTTTTTTTTTCAAAATTTACATACTTAATCTATATAACAATATATTTAAACTTATCAGTTTTGATTTTTGATTTTAATTTTTATTTAATCATTTTTTATAAAAACTTTACGAATTTCACATAAAAAAATTTATTTAAATATTTCCCATATATGGCTAAGATAGTTTGCTAGGAAAATATAATATATAAAAGTAAATCATGATTTAGATTAGTAAGCAGTTGGAAAATATTAATCAATAAAAAATATAATTAATGCATCATCCATTTTAAATTTGATAAAAATAGTGCATAAAATATAGAAAATTTTAAAATAATATTTTTTGTGAAAAATTTGTAATTAAAAAATAAAAATATAATAAAAATTGAAATTGAAAATTTAAGTTTACTAATTGCATGAACCAATTTTGACTGCCTTTAATCAGTTGCTATGGTTCCTCGTTCGATGAATGGCCTTAATAATAGGCACTCCAATCCAGATAGCCAACTTTCCCTGGGCCACTTCGATCTATGACATTCTTTCGTTTAAACCAATAAGAATTTTTGGCACCCATCATATTATTAGAAGTCCCGTGCTTTCTATTCTCTTCTCAAATCCTTCTGGCAAGCAATCCTTCTTTTCTCCAATGTTCTTTTCTTTCCTCACAACCCTAATGAATTGATGCCTGATGCTTCAAGCGCCATTGCAATCTCCTTTATCTATAAAGAGGTGAAGTTGGCCATACTTCCAAAACATTTGTAAACAACTGAATTGGGTTTTTTTTTAGTCCAGCCACTTGAAACACTCTTGTTCATCAATTGCCGATTTCTTTCCCCTCCATGCTTTATCTTCAGAGGCCCTATTGCTCAGTGAAAAAGGGCCGATATGCCATGCCTTTCAGCATACACGGCTTCGAGCTCATAGAAACTGTTGAAAACCACGACAAAAGCTTCTTAACTCTGATCTTTGCATGCTTTCAGCATCTTGGTGAGATCTGTTTCAACGTTTTCTTTCACATGATCTGGCATTCAGCTGGATTTTTGTGAATTTGATATCGCCTGGAAGGTTAGGCACCATAAATTGTTAAGATTCAGGCTCGAGTTTCTTGTGCGGCTAGTAGAGTGTCATACACTCCGTTGCGCAGGATGGGAAGAAACTAATTCCAGAAAACACCAACCTGGGGATCCCGAATACATCCGCTGCATAAGTAACCAAAGGAAAGAATATATTAGCAACCAAGCAATCGGGTTTACATTCTTTTAGCAGCTGCTCCAGGGTTACTGAAGCATGACTTTGGCCTCGAAAATTTTGCTTACATTGTCCTCCTTCCCATCTTGGGAAGTAGAGAGCAAGTCTGCATATTCACAGCCGTTGGGCAAGCCACCCTCCACGCTAGGAGACTTTATCAAGTAGCCTAGAGCCATGAATGGAAAGAAGCAGAGATAAATTTCACTCTCCTTATTCCTTGGGAGCAGACTTCAGTCAAACAGCAGCAGAGACAAATTTAAAATGCCTGAGAAACTGAAGAAACAAAAAAGATGCCAAGGTTTAGAAATATCAGTGGTTGTTTGAATTCGAATTTTGCATAGAATTAATAATGAAATTCAAGGAAATTCTATTTACTACCATATTTTAGGGTTGTGATCCATGAATCTCCTATGTTTCTACAAAACATAATGAGAAACTATATCAATCATAAATTAAATGATTTGCTTTTAAGATCATTAAGAGGTAAAATTAATCCTTTGCATGCATTGCGCACTGTCACAAGCTAATAGCGAAGTATTTTCTATTTACTACCATATTTTTTAAGGATTGAGATCCATGAATCCAATCCATGAATCTCCTATGTTTCTACAAAACATAATGAGAAACTATATCAATCAAAAACATTTTCAGATTTTTACTAGATTGGCACCAGCCACCAGTCTGTTTGTCAAGATAAATGCATTGTACGAAGATTACAGACGGGCTGTTGATTTTCTTTGGAGGGAAAAGACAGGCTGTTTGTTATTACTGCTGAATAGTGAGAGTCAACTACCAGTAAATGCTTGGTCAAATTGAATTGGAATATATGGAAGTAAAAAATCATCCAACATGTACATAATCACGATCTAAGTTTTGAAGCGCACTACTTTTGCATTAGTGCCATAATAATGTAGGTAAACTCTTTCTTCAATCTTGACCATGAATTGTAATATGATTAAATTATTACTAAATTTATCTTATTATTATCTAAGGCAATAATAAGATTCATAGCAATAAGAAAATATTGATTTTTCCCAGTTCACAGTCCCCAAAACATGCATTAAGTTCAAGGAACACCAAATGACATAAAAAATATGAAATATGATTTTTCCTTCTGGCTGTTGATTCAATGACGACGCAAGCTCAGTTCTTCAATCAGAGCATTCAAATCAGAGTGAGATGACCCTCCTTTCTCACCAGCCCTTTTGGCAGCTTTTGCCAGTGCCTTTGCAGTGTTTCTCATTTCTTCTGCTTTATCACCATTCATGATGTCCTTCACCGCCTTTTCTATTGCTTCTCTCTTCACAAAATCTCCGATCGTTCTCACCCATTGTTGAACACCAACGGCCACTCCAATCTTTAGGACTTGCGTCACCAACTTTTCGTTGTAGAACTGCTCTGCGGACACCGGCCAGGTGACCATAGGCACGCCAGCAGACACGCCTTCCAAGGTTGAATTCCATCCGCAATGAGTCACAAATCCACCAACTGCTTCATGATCAAGAATCAAAACTTGCGGTGCCCATCCTCTTATTATCAGTCCCTTGCCTTCCATTCTCTTCTCAAATCCTTCTGGCAACCAATCCTCCTCTTCTTCATTGTTCTTTTGTTTCCTCACAACCCAAATGAATTGATGCTCTGACGCTTCAAGCGCCATGGCAATCTCCTTTAATTGTGCTGAGGTGAAGTTGGCCATACTTCCAAAACATATGTAAACAACTGAATTGGGTTTTTTGGAGTCAAGCCACTTCAAACACTCGTGTTCATCAATTGCTGATTTCTTTCCCCTCTCTGATTTATCTTCAATGGCCCTATTGCACAGCGAAACAGGACCGATATGCCATGCCTTTCTTCCCAAAACAGTCCTGTAGTAGTCAGCATACGTATCCTCCAGCTCGTAAAAACTGTTGAATACTACGCCATAGCTTTTTAGCTCTGATTCCTTAACTGCTTTGATCATCTTGGCAAAGTCAGTTTCGATATCTTTTTTCATATGATCTGGCAGCTGCTTTTTTGTCAACATGATATCTCCCGGAAGATTAGGCACCACAAAAAGTTCGGAATCAGACTGAACTTTCTTGTGTGGCTCGTATAGCCTCATGCACTCCGATGCACACAAGGAAAAGAAACTAGTTCCGTGAAACACCAACCTCGGGATCCCAAATTTATTTGCTGCGTCGGTAGCCCAAGGAAAGAACATATCAGCAACCAAGAAATCTGGTTTGCATTTATGTAGCAGCTGTTCAAGGGGTTCCTGGAGCATGGCTGTGGCTGTGAAGAATTTGCTGACCAAGTCCGCACTTCCCTCTTGGGAAGTCGGGATCAAGTCTGCGTTTTCACACCCTTCAGGCAAGCCAGCCTCAACAGTAGGAAACTTTAGAGTCCTGATACCGATATCGATACCAGATTCCTTGCTTCTCTGGATTGTCTTGGAGAAGAAAGAAGCATTGAGCGGAGTGGTGATTATAGTTGTCTTCACTCCTTGGTTTGCGAACAGCCTGGCCATGTCCACAGTCGGTATCATGTGGCCATGAGCCATGAATGGAAAGAACAACATATGAACCGGAGGAATTTCACTTCCCATTCTCCGTGGAAGGAGAATAAATTAAAAATCAGATAAAGTGATGAAAAAACAGAAAGAAAGATGGACCTTGAAATTTTTCTGCAATGGTTTGAAATTGTGTTCATTCGGTTAACACTAGCATGATCAGTTATAAACAAAATCAAGAGAGGAATATCCTACTATACAATCGTCTTCGCATTCGTCAGCTTCTCCTCCTATTAAAACCATTAATTGATATGATTTCATGTTCTATGTCGGTTTCTTCAATGTATTAATTCGAAATTACTACTTTTACTTTGTTGAGAGAGACACATGTATGCTTGGGGGAAGAAGTGGTCAAATCGAGCACGAAAAATGAGGAACACGGAAAATGAGGAACATGGGATGAATGAATTCGGTGCCACACACGTAATCTCATTTCACGAAAAATGAGGAACATGGGATGAATGAATTCGGTGCCACACGTAATCTCATTCGTCATATAGATAATAGAACAGCTAGATGCGTGTCAAATTGAAGGACAAAAATCCTTAAGTAGAAGAACCTGGAAATTGGATGAACATATTTAATTGCATTGCAATTTGCTTTACTTGCATGGAACTCAAATATAAGCATCAATCTTTTTTTTGAATGCAAGGAAGGGCTTCGTACTTTTGCCTCAGTAAAAGTAAATACTTTTTTTATCTGAAAAAAATTAAAAATAAAAGAGACTATTTCATCTATAAGGTCAAGACAAATTACCGATTTAATTGAGATTTACAAATTTATTAAATTTTTACTTGCAAATTTTTTAACTTATAAATTATTGTTGTTGTTGTAAAAATAATAAAAATTTTATTTTTTTCCACTTCAACTTCAATTACTTGTATAACATTAGAAATTAATGTTAGTAATGTTTCTTTTATTATGCTAATATGGTAAAAATAATTGTCCCAGCTTCACAACTAAATTAAAAAAAAAAACATGTATTTGAAAATTAATCTTCTTATCATTTTTTCTAACTCCAATATAGGGATTTTTTTTATTTGCAATAGATTTGAAGTTGCCTGTTATATTTAATTGATTTGATTTGGTTTAAGATATCAATTTTAATCATAATCACGTAGATATTGTGCTACACACATTATCAAAAATTAAATGTTGTCGCAATTGGGCCAGGCCCCTGGGGTTACTAAAAGATTGGACCACTTTAGCTTTAGCTTGCATCACACTCGAATGCTAACAACAGAAACAAGTACATCGCATGTCCAACTCAATTAAGATTTTTTGAATTGTTGAAATTTACATTCCAATTTTGCCTTTTTTTTTTTCACTCCTTTCTTAGCTTAGGAACATTTTTCCTCGTGATTCTAAACCTTCTCCGATAACATTTGGATGATTTAATTAAAAATATTAAAATTAATTTATGAATTGTAATAATATTTAATGTGATATTTAAATTTTAAAATTTTTTAATATGATATATAAAAATTATGAATGAATTAATTAATGTAACATTTAAAAAATAATTTATTCATCATGAATCAACATTTGAAATTAATTATATTAAAAATAATATCACATTATTTAATAAATTGATAATTTACATATCACAAATATTTTTAAATTTCAAATATTATTTTAAATATTTTTCTATTATTCAAAATACTAATCTAATTAAATAATAGGAATTTTGCATAATTTATCTAACCAACTAGTTTGTGATCCTTGCAATGCACTAATTAATTTTATTTGCTAATTAAAATATTTTAAATTTGTAAAATTATTAATAAAAATTTATTATTACAAACAACCTGAAAAGATTATATTAAAATATATCAATTCACAATAAAATATTTATGTAACTAATAGATAAAAAAAATTTCTTTGGAATATAGTTGATTCTCACTTTTAAATCTATGTGATTCCAAAACCAATAATTAATGAAAGAGACTTGCTCAAGTTATAAAAATGTATAAAAACCTACTTAAATTACAAAACAGTAAAAAAATAATATAGAAATTCTTGAATTGAAAATATTTATTGACTAAGCAAAACTTACTATCATTAACTTTATGAAAAATAATATTTTGTTGCTTAATATTTATATATACAATTCATATTATCACTTTTTTTACTTGAAAAAAAATGTGTTAATATAAAAGTAAAAAAGATAAATATTTAAAAATTTAAATATAGTGGCAATAGTAATAATTATTCTCTTTACTCTATTTTTGTTTTCCATTTTTCATTTAATCAAACATTATAATGAACATAACCTTGCATGTTAAAAATAATTATCGAAAAGTTTCATATGTCCAAAAAATAAATAGTAGGATTAATAACTAACCAATTATTTGGCACCTAAGTAGGATATTCACATGAAGTAGAATTTTCACAAAATTAAACTCAATATACAATACAAAAAATCTAATGAATGAAATTCATATATATATATATATCTATAAATGATATAAAACCAATTTCTTTATTCAATGATTTTTTCTTGGCATAACAAAAAAAAGAAAAAACCTCAAAATTTTGTTTTAGTGTTTGAAAACTATAATCTTGATAAAAATAATTAAAATAATTAGAAAATGTGAAGCAAATAAAAAAAGAGTTGAAAATAAACAATAATGTTAGAAAATAAAATTAACTCAAAAAAGAATTGACATACCTTAACTTAATTCTAATATTGATCAAACCATTAAAAATATTAATAAATTTGCATTAAAAAATAATTTGAATAAAAAAAATATACCTATAGGATTATTAGATGTGGAAATACATATTTCGTATTTAACCTGTAATCAATACAAGTTCAATCGAGGAAATATTAAAAAATTTGGAAAGTATAAAGGATATAATAAATTATTTTAATTTGTTTGAATTTTTTAAAAACAAACCAAATATTAAAAGATTACGAGGATATCTATGAAGATGTTGAAAATTTTAAATTTAAAAGAGATATATGTATATTATTGAAAAATTTTATTTTAAAAGAAATATATCTAAATTTTATTTAATTTGTATGCTTTACATATAATTAATCCAAATCTTTAAAGTAATATACTTAGGAAAAAGTCAAAAAGTTGGTAAAATTATAATGATTTAATCGAAAAATATTTGATATTTAAAAGTTAGCATTTGAATTTTTAGATTTGATATATATTAATGATAAGAGGTAGTTGAAATTTTTTGTGATTTAAATGAAGTTAAAGTTTATATAAAATTGAAATATTGGATAAACTTAATTTTTAAAATTTTAAAATTATTTGGTAAATAATTAAAATTTTAGAATTATCTTATGTATAGATTGTACATGTAAGTGATCATTAAAAAAATGTTTATTTGATCATATATTTAAAACTATCTTATGTGTCATCAAAATATATTGTACACAAAAGATTACATGTAGGATTATATATGATTGATTTTTCATTTAAATCTTGATAAACTTTAATTCATAAATTTATTTAAATAATAATTTTATCTATAGATAATATCTAATCAGATAATAATATTTAAATTTTGGTGTTTTATACTTTTATCCTCCAAAGATAAATATCTAATAAGATAATTACTTAATAACTCTAGACTTAAGAATTTCCATTAAAGTGACCAACATGGCTTATTAGAGTTTAAAAGTTAACTAATACAGATTTTCTTCTTACTGTTATTTAGTTATGCATTGTGATTTCATTTTTATTGAGTTTATTTTTTGATTTGTTTTTAAATTATAATAAAAAATATAGTAGCTTAAGTAAGTTCTAATTAAATTTATTATGAATTAAGAAATAGAAAAATGAAATGTTACTGTTGATTTGAAAAAAAAAACTTATTTGGTGGAGTAAATAGTATGTTTAGTGAAACAGTAGCTATTATTAGAAAAAGCATATTAGTTCCTATAGTAATAATAGACTAATAAAAAGAGAAATTAAATTAATAGTAAGGAAAATACATTTAGCTTGTATGCTTCATGGAACATTGGGAAAGCTATATAGAACTACCAACAATTAAAGCTTTCCTGAAGTTGTTTTGATATTTGTATTTTTTTTCCATATTTTCTTAAAATATTAATATTAAAAGTCTATGACAAATATTGATTTAAATTTAAATTTTATTTTAATTTGGATATATCTAAATTTATTTTTTAAAGCTGGTGGATTATTTATTAAAATTATCTTTATCTATATCTAGTAGGTTCAAAAACTAAAGATAATGTAAGGATGATTTATAAAAAATATTAAAGATATTAAATAATATTTTTAAAAGTTTTGATAAATTTAAATAATCATGTTAAGTGCATATAAATTCAAAAAGATAAATTATTTTAAAATTGATTTTAACTTGAGATAAGATTATATATAGGAGAAATTGAATTTCATTATAATTTAAATTGGTTTTTGATTAAAATTTAAAATTTTAGATAATTTAATAATTTTTAATATATATTTTTATAAATAATTTAAAATTAATAAATATCTTATGTGTCATCGTAAGAAGAAGTTTTAGAAATTATCTTATATATATAAAAAAAAGCTATCCACATAAGCTGCCATATCAGCAAATACTACCTGGTAACTATATATGTTATAATATAATATAATATATATGATTTCTAATTCAATAATGACATCATTATTGCTTTCATTTTCTATCTCGATCACCTTTGCTAAATTAGTTTAAATCTTTAACTAATTTTAAGTTCCATATGATTATCACAATATTTGTTTTATATATAAACCAACAGAATCAATGAAAATTACTATTTACATCTAATCTAATCTAATATATATTATATTAAATGATGTAAAGTTATTGGATAGTATGTGCTAACATGGACATCTATGTGAATAATCTCTTTTTATGACATGTAAGATAATATTTGTATTATATTATTTATCAAGTAACTCTATTTAATAAATTATTTAAATTTAATATGTTTGGATAACTATGTAAATATACTATTTTCGGATAATTATTAAAATTTAAATCAAAATCTATAAAATATTGAATATTTTACATAAATTTTAAATTCAAATATATTAAATTATAAATTACCTTTATTTTTTAATTTAAATTATAAATTTAAAATATATTAAAGTTGTGTCTTAGTTTTCAACAATATTTTGTGGCCCAGCAATATTCTTGTTGGCATTGAATTGATCTTTATTTTGAAATAACAAAATATTAAGCTAAATAAGCTTGATCAATATTTTGAAAAAAAATTATTTAGTATAAGTTCTTAAGTTTTATTATTTTTTTACTA